ATACTCTAAGTCGACTGAAGTCCTAAATCCATTTCAAGTCAACACCCTTTGCATAGAAATCTGAGCTCCCTTTCTGAGTGAACGTATGAACCTACAGGCAGAGCTGTAGCCTGATTGTGAGTCTGCCAACTGCAGTGGCCGAGATAGGTGCTAGTGTCTGGGCTGGGGAGGGGGTTAATGCAGTGGACCCTGAGCCTGAAGCCCATTTCACCCAGAGGAGCACCTGAGGGTGTCAATGGGGGAAGGAATTCTTCCCAGTAAGTTTTCCCAGATCTGGTTTTGTTTCTGCGAAGAAAAAGGATCCCGGATCATTTTCCTTGGGAATGTGCCTGGGAGTGGGACATGAAATTTAGACTAGTGCAGCTACAAAGCTAGGCTTTGTCCATGGGAAGGTTATGTTCAACACTAAAGTAGTGTAGAATGGTAACATGGGAGGTAGCATTCCCACAGAATATTTGTGATCTTGTGTTTTTGACATTGGAGGTTTCTCCATTGCTTCCATACTCCTACAAGTATGGAAATTAGCAGTTATGGCATTCTTTGCCCACCATATGGCAGATGATTCAGGACCTAGGCATTGCCCTGCCAGAAATGAATGTCCTTTGACTGGACAGCTGGAAACAGTACACTCAACTAGCCAGATGCTGACTCAGGTCCTGAGAACCCCAGCTAACCAGATGCTGACTCAGGTCCTGGGAAACCCACCTAACCAGATGCTGACTCAGGTCCTGGGAAACCCACCTAACCAGATGCTGACTCAGGTCCTGAGAAACCCACCTAACCAGATGCTGACTCAGGTCCTGGGAATCCCAGCTAACCAGATGCTGACTCAGGTCCTGGGAAACCCACCTAACCAGATGCTGACTCAGGTCCTGGGAATCCCCGCTAACCAGATGCTGACTCAGGTCCTGGGAATCCCAGCTAACCAGATGCTAACTCAGGTCCTGAGAATCCCTGCTAACCAGATGCTGACTCAGGTCCTGGGAATCCCAGCTAACCAGATGCTGACTCAGATCCTGAGAACCCCACCTAACCAGATGCTGACTCGGGTCCTGAGAAACCCACCTAACCAGATGCTGACTCAGGTCCTGAGAACCCCAGCTAACCAAATGCTGACTCAGGTCCTGGGAAACCCACCTAACCAGATGCTGACTCAGGTCCTGGGAACCCCAGCTAACTAGTTGTAGATGCAGGTCCTTGGTACTCTCATTTAGCCAAAAGCTAACTTCTTTCCCCTTGAAAAGTTAGGCCTATGCTTCTTCCCAGGGAGGGTGTAATGCCTCATTTGAGCAGTCCACTCCTGGGGCCCAGGTTGGCGTGCATGTCTCCTCCCTCACCTGTATTCTTGTCTGCAGGCCTGTTGGGGCCAGGGTGTGTATGTGTTGTGGCGAATTTGTTGTGATGTTTGTATGCAAGGCATAAAACAAATAGCCCATGTCATTTACAGAGCATGCTTGTTTACCAAGGAATCTGGCTATCACATGTTATTTTATACAGTTGAAAATCATTCTTGGTAGTCTCTGTTTGATAGTGTGAACAGCCCCTTCCCTATTATGTGCGAGTGTGATTCCCTCCAAGGACATAGTTGTGGAGCACAGGGTACCCTAAGGTGCAAGGCAGGACTGCTGTGACTCATACCATGGGGAATAGGAAGAGAAATCAGAAAAGAATGGAAAGGAAATGCAGCAAAATAAGGTTACAGGGTCAGCAAAGAAGGAAAAGGATTAGCGGACAGTGGCAGGGTACTGCCTCGAGCTGCCTGGACATGGATGGACACTGCTGTGATTTGCTATGGCATAGTGGCTTGTAACACAGGCTGTGCAGGCTCAAGGCAGTGAGGCCTCCTGACTCCTCTCTGGCCTTGGGAGGCTGCCGCTGAGCTGCAAGGCCCCAGGCTTTATTTTAAAGCTGAGATAAGGCCATGCATTTTGTGGTTTTGTGAAAATTAAATGACAGCATGCTTAGAACCTGTTAGAGTGATTTCTGGCACATCATGGACAATGAGTGAATGGAGGTGAGTGGTCATGAACGTGGGTACTCTTTGCAGGGTTGTGGCCCTCAGCGCTCTTGCTCCTCACACTGTCTGTAGGGAAGATCACTGTTCAGAATGTTTGCTGTGTTCCAGTGATGCTATCTCTGATGTTTAAAAATGTATCTGATACAACACGGATACCCAGGAATAAAATGAACACACAAGAGACTAAGTCTCCAGTTATTGTCTTGTCATTTCCTTTATGGAAAATGCCGAGTGCCTCTCACTGCTGAATTAACTGTTGTCAGAAAACAGTTTATGCCTGGGCTTCAATCCATGACCAAAGAGTAGTCTCAGTGTGTAGAACACATCCTCCTGAGTGGACACGGGCAGACTCCTGGTGTGTGAGGACACATCCTCCTAGTGGACACAGACACCTCACAGCATATGAGAACACATGTTCCTGAGTGGACACAGGCAGCCTCCCAGTGTGTAAGGACACATTCTCCTGAGGGGGCAATGACAGCCTCCTGTTAGCTGCACGAAGCATGAGGCCTCCATGCCCTGTATCTGCTCATATCTTCTCAGTCGGGTGAGGTCTCACTGTGGAGAAGAGAAAGGTTCCTGATAGCAATAGGAGTATGCCCATCTACGTTTCTGTGACTGAAATGTCATGAGTGTGTGAGCAGCACTTCTTTGCAGACTTGGGAGGCCAAGGGTACCAGGTCAGCTGCTATACAGAGCAGACTGGGCTGAGCAGGTGGAGGTACTGTATTGGGGCTTTTTCCCATGGAGAAGCCTGTGTTAGGAAGGGCTTAATCAGATCTGTCCCACCTGGCCCCTGGTCTGTGAGGTCATGTTGTAGTATGGATTTTCAGATGGCTCAAGCTTCCTTAATTTCTACCTTGAGCAGACAAGATGGGCACATGTGACTCTGGGCCAGACACCTGCTATCAGGTGCTCACCCACACAAGACCCAGGCCACAAGAGCATGAAGAAGTCTGACCCCACCCACAACCCACTGCCTACTTTCCACCAAAGTTAAGCTTCACTGGCACTCAGGTGTCCACCCAACTTGCCCAGGTTCTGTGTTCCTGAAACAAAGATCGTTCCAAAGGTGCTGGCTCAAGTGGGAGTGTCACAGCTCTGTGACAATATGGACTTCACGTGACCACTGTGTACCAGGCACACTCATCTGTAGCACCTATGCCGGTGCCAGAGTGTGCTGTCTGCAATGGGAGGAAGTTTGGGGCATGTGTGCCTGCAGTGTGGGCACACAACTCTGAGTCATAGCAGCCAGTTTGTCTTCTAGGCTGTGCTTCTTATGGTTGCCATGTGGTGGGAGTGTGTTACCAGACCACTCCCAAGTGGCCACAATGGCCAGAACTGGGCCAATGCAAAGTCAAGAGCCAGGAGCTTCTTCCTGGTCTCCTGTGTGGGAGCAGAGGTCTGAGGACTTGGGCCATCTTCTGCTACTATTATCTCAGGCCAGTAGCAGGGATGTGAATGAGAGGTGAAGCATCCATGACATGCACCAGTGCCCATATGGGCTGCTGGACCACAGGCAAAGGGTCAGCCTGCCATGCCACAGCATTGGCCCCAAAGAAAGTGATGTGTGAAGGAACATCCTCAAAATGTGTTGCGTGAACACTTGCTGTCCTTGAGATTTTATTTTTATGCTCTGTGAAATGCAAGGTGAGGCCACAGATTGAACTTGTAGGTGTCTTCTGGGACATGATGCTGTGCAGGCAAGAGACGGGGACAGGCAGGCAGCAAGAGGACCAGAAGATGAGTGGTGAAACACCAGGCATCCAACTGTCTGCTCTGAGCACCCATGAAAAGCAGACACACAAAAAAGACTTCTTGGTGAGCCATGGCCCTACACAGAGCCTATTCCTTCGGGGGTACAGCTGCCTCAGAGGACCACCATGGTGCACAGTGCTGTAGTCAAGGGGCCTTTTTCCCCAGAACCAGCAGGGCTGTGGACCAGAGAGAATATGGAAGTCCCACTGGGGAGATCCAGACTCAAGGCCCTTCCAGACAAATTGAAAAAAGTGGGACTATGTGTGTGAGAACCTGACCTACCAGAAAGGCAGCTGCACTGTCACTGCGGGGTCAGTAGAAGTGATGCCTGCATCGCTCATGCACTGACCCCACGGTGGTCAAGAGAACAGGGCAGGAGAGGGCCATATGGGACCTGGGCACAGTGTCCGGGGGATAGCTTTGGGACCAGGGCAGTGTGGCATTGCCTAGCCTGGTCCCTGGTATGGCCGTGCGTCACCTGCTGAATGTATAAACTGAGTGCCAGACCCAGGGAAGCCAGAAAAGGAGAGATGGCAAGTGTGGCCACAGGGAACTCCTGTAGGAGTTTCAGGCAGCCACAGCTCCCTCACTCTGCCTCCCTTCCCCAATGCAGCTAGGCACCAAGGACTCTCCTCCCAGGGACCTCAGCCGTGTCCCAGCCTGCCTGTGCCTGGGGTTCTAGACTGGCAGGAGGGCCTGGGGAGGTTTGGCAAGAGCTACTCTGGTGGTGGGAGGAAATAGTAGGCGTGGCCCTGTGGTGGCAACATCCTGATGGTCATGGGCCCCTAGCACAAGTAGGGCGGCCTCTAGGGCAGCCAGAGAGAACAGTGGTGTGGGGGCCCGTGGATGAGGTGGATGTGGGCAACCCCCCACACCCCACTCAAGTGTTTTCCTTCTGCCTCACTGAGTGGCCTTAGCCATGGAGCCTTGCTTGCCCTATCATCTCTTCTTGATGCTCTTGAGGATCAGGAAGTCAGTGGGTATGCATCCTGAGCACTCACAGGAAGGGAGATGGAAGGGGCATGGGCATCTGAGTGGGGCAGGTAGGGTGTCAGCCCCTTGGGAATGGGGATCCTGTGTGAGGCTGTTTCTGGAGTCACTCCGCAGGCTGGGACCTGACAGGGTTTCGGGGCCTGGCAAGATGCCTGTGCCTCGCCTTTGCCCTGGCATGCCTCCAAGTCCCAATGTCACCCACCTCTAGCTGATCCTGTCCTTCCCTCCGCAGGGAGTTTGCCAAGGAGAGAGAGAGGGTGGAGAACCGCAGAGCCTTCATGAAGTTGCGGCGGCAGCAGCAGATTGAGCGTGAGCTGAATGGCTACCGGGCCTGGATAGACAAAGCAGGTGAGGTGGCCCAGCAGGGCAGAGCTCAGGGCACCTGCTGGCCCCTCATCCTTCTCTGGGACCTGTGACTACACCAGACACCTCTCCTGAGGCAGGCAGGTCTGCAGGGTGGACAGAGTGACCAAGTCCCAGGCTGCCTGGAGGAAGCTGGGAGGGGGACACTCGTCCTCCCACTCCTGTGCACAAGCCCTGTCCTGGGCTCTTGGCAGCATGGTGCCTGAAAGCCTCCTCCTTAGCCTCTTCCCCTAGAGCAAGGCAGCAGACAGTGGGGCAGCGAGTGGGGAGCTTGCAGGCAGGCAGTGGGTCAGGGGGCCCCAAGTGAGGCAAGGGGAGCTTTGGCTTTGGGGCTCCAACAGGCCTACAAATGAGTGCTTGAACAGGAGGGTATGAGCCCTGGCCAAGCCTCTGAGTGCTGAGGACAGGAGAGGACTGAGGTGGTAGGGGCCTGGTGGACTCCAAGGAGGACAGGACCTAGGAGGACTCTGAGCGGTCATCAAGGTTCAGCCTGGATGTGATCTGGGGACTGCCGGGGACACACCCCTCCCAACCTCACTGAGTCTCAAGGCCAGGCCCAACAACAGAACCCAGCCTCCCCAGCCACAATGTCCTGTGTGGACCAAGGCAGTGATGCGCTGGCCCCTCTGTGACTGCAGTGGGTCTTTCACATGCACAGTGCATTGAGCACGGCAGTTCTTCTGCACTGCAATAGAAAGTGCCATGCGGGCCTGAGCTCACACAGGGAACTGGGTTGGTCTGGGTGTTCAGCCACAAGAGCTTGCTCCTCCACAGTTGCCCATGTGGTTCCACAGTTGCCCGTGTGGTGGCCCCATGCTCCACACTCCTGTGTGAGTACAAGCCTTGTCAGAGCTGGTGCAGGGGTGAGGTGAGCATGAAGCCCTTGCCTCCCTGCAGGGGAGCAGCTCTGCCACCAGGCCAGATAGGTAGCCAGCATTCCCTAACTAGCTGGGACTAGCTGTGAAGAGGGCTGGCCACAGGCCTGAAAAGGCCTCCAGCCTACCCTGGACCCATGCAGGGTTTTGTGAAGATGGCAAGGCTTCCTGTCTTATTCTTGGCAAAGCAGTTCCTGGGTCCTTCACGAACCAAAAACACACCATGCTGTCTTCCGGCCCTCCACTCTGCAATTGGGTATGAGTGAATCAGAGATGTGGGTTTCATTTCCCTGGAAAGATTCAAGTGTAAGCATGGACTTGGCAAAGAACGCTGGGAGAGGCAGTGTCCGCCCACACAGAGGTATGAGCGCTACCCGGAGAGCCTCAGCTGCACCAGCCCCTGCCACCGGAGTTCACTGCACCCAGCACAGGGGTTCCTGGCTGAAGTTACTGATAGGGCCAAGATATTTTCACAAATGCCTGCTTTGGAAATGAAGCCCTCTAGAACAACTGTGTAATAAAATGGCTGCAAAGCATTCACCAGCAACAGCTACCTGCCGCCTGGGCATTTGCAGAGCTCAACCAGGAAGGTGGGCACAGCTTGATGTGATGGTTCTTGGGGTGCTCCCCTTCCTCAGCACTTCCTGTGCAGGTGGGATCCTGGGGACATCATTGCCCTCTCCTCCTGCTTGTCATCTTCTCGGCTGTCCCCACAGTGGGCTCCCCCACTCTGCCAGATGGGCACTCAGGAGAGAGGCCACTGAGATCTGTGAGGCCAGAGAGGGGGCCGAGGGGAGAGTAGTGCATCTCAGATTCTGAACACCCTCCCCAGGACAATGGTCCTGCAAGATGACTTCTATCTCAGAGCCAGCCAAAGCGGTGCTCCTGGGAGACCTGCATTTCTCCCTGGTCAGCTTCTAGCTTGGGGTTCCTACAGTACCCATTTCCCCACCAAGGATCACAATTTGCCAGGTGACTCCCACATGGCCCTCGGGGAAGCTATCCTCTCAGTGATGGGTCCAACTCAGGAGAGACAAGTCGGAAGGAACAGCACAGGGTCCAGCAGGCCTCCTGGGTCCCCAGTGTACCCCTTCTCATGTTACTGGTCTTCTCCTGCTCAGGCCAGAGGCCTGCCTCCAATGACCCCAACACTGCTGTAAGCCCTTGGGGCCCCTGTCCCTCAGGACTCGTCTCCTGGCCAGACCCAGGCTCTGGTCCCTCCCTCCCCAGGGATGAGACCTGCAGAACTCAGACTGTGCCCAGCCATGGGGAAAGTGGATGGTAGATGGCTTCTCTCCAAGGCCCTCAGGGGGGCCCTCAGTTGGCACCCCAGAACATGGGCCAGAGCAACAACACACGGGGCCACTGCTACCAGGGAGGCACAGGGATGGGACTGGCACTGGGGAACCCCGACACTGGGATTGACCCCCCCAACCTCCTGTGGGCCTGCCACAGCCTTGGAACCCTGGACCCAGAGCTGTGCCCAGAGGTTTCCACGTTGCCTTCCTGGCGTCTCACTGCAGCATCTGTTTCCATCTAGAGGAAGTCATGCTTGCTGAAGAAAACAAAAACTCAGGGACGTCGGCCTTAGAAGGTGAGACAGCGGTGCTTAGCTGCTTGTTTCCATGTGGAGTCGAGAGGAGAATGGTGATATCTGCGTGGAGTGCACAGGGAAATTTGGGTGAGAGGATTCTGGGTGGGCTGTACCTCACCAGGGTGCCCTCTCTGGTGCAGTGCTTCGCAGGGCAACCATCAAGCGGAGTCGCACAGAGGCCATGACTCGGGACTCCAGCGACGAGCACTGTGTGGATATTTCCTCTGTGGGTGAGTGGACACCTCCTGAGCCTCCCATGAGAGGAGTTTCCCATCTTTGGAGAAGTCCCACGGGAGGAAAAGTGCTCAATCTTAAGATGAAGTTGGGAGCCCCGTGGGAATTTTCCCACTGTGTGGCAGTTTCAGGGGAGGATAGGAGCTCTAGGTATTGCTCCTGACACGACTGAGGTCAGGGCTGAGAGCTGACCTGGAGCTGCTCAGCTGGCAGAGAGGGTCTCCCTATCTCTGGGTGACCAGCAGCACCTTCCTGGGATGTCACCCAAAGGGTTCTGAGGTCTGCTACTTTGTGTATCCCCAGTGTTCTCACCTGCAGAACTTACTGAGCCACAGTAGCCCCACCTGGCTATTGCCATGTGCAATTTCAGCTCATTCCATTGTAGCCAATCTCTGGCTCTCCTGGAAACCCCAGCTGATGGCAGAGAGCAAGGCATAGTCCTACTCCACCCTTGAGAGCAGAAGAATCTGAAAGATGTGTTTTTTATTTGAGAGGCAGAGTTACAGGGGAAATGGAGGAGAGAGGGTTTCCATTTGCTGGCTCAATCCCCAGATGGCTATAAGAGCTGAGCTGGACCAGGCCAAAGCCAGAAGTCAGGGGTTTCATTCCAGGTCTCCCATGTGGGTGCAGGAGCCCAAGCATCTGGGCCATCTTCCATTGCTTTCCCAGCTCGTTAACAGGGGTCTGGCTGGGAAGAGGAGCAGTCCAGGCAGGACTGAAAGGCAGCATCCATATGGAGTGCCAACACTACAGGCAAGCTTCATCCTCTATTCCACAGCGCCAGCCTCAGCTGTATCAGAAGGGTGCCAGAGCCCACAACACCTTTGCTAGAGAGGGGGGACAGATCCAATCTGCTGCTGGCACAGGAGTCCTGAGGACTGAAGCTCCTCCCCCTCAGTGTTTTCTGGTGACCCAATCTGAGCCAGTCTTCTGGGACCAAGGTGTTTAGATGAGGGAAACTGGCATGGGGCACAGGATTCCCAGGCCCACTCTCACTTCTTCGCTCCTCTGGCAGATGACCCTGGGCATTGCAACCTTCTTACTCCTTCCCTCTTCACCTCAGGCACCCCTCTTGCCCGAGCCAGCATCAAGAATGCGAAGGTGGATGGGGCCTCCTATTTCCGGCACAAGGAAAGGCTCCTGCGTATCTCTGTGCGCCACGCTGTTAAGTCCCAGGTGTTCTACTGGATTGTGCTAAGCCTCGTGGCCCTCAACACAGCCTGTGTAGCCATCGTCCACCACAACCAGCCCCAGTGGCTCACCCACCTCCTCTGTAAGTGAACCTGAGTGGAGGCTCTCACTATCCACCTAGCAATGCCCATCTGTCCACTCATTGTCAAGTCAGGTGCTCAGTGAGTGAGATGGCATTGCCTTGTGGCTAGTGTCAAAGGGACTTGCAAGTCAGCCACTGCTCCTGGACATGGTGTGGCCAGGAGACTGTCCTGCCATGTACATTGGGATAAGGAGCTGGATCTTTCCCAGAAGGCATTGGGAAGTCCATTCCTGCCACCTCCCCATGGAGGGAGAGAAAATCTGACCTGGCCTGGAGAGGGTAGGACAGGGGTCAGCTGTCCTGATGCCGTCCGGATGTGGTAGTGAACATCGCTGCAGGGTGGCGCTGCCCCACTGTGGACTGAATGCTCTGTCCTGGCCCTGCAGACTATGCAGAGTTCCTGTTCCTGGGGCTCTTCCTCCTGGAGATGTCTCTGAAGATGTATGGCATGGGCCCCCGCCTCTACTTCCACTCCTCCTTCAACTGCTTCGACTTTGGGGTGAGTCCCAGGAGCCTCTTATTGGCTTGGCGTGAAGCCATGAGGGTTGCATTTAGCCAAGAGATGAGTGGTCCGTCACCATAGCACTGCATGCTTGGGATGTGTGAGTGCCATGGTCCTAGCATCATTAAGCACAGCCTGTGGGCTCCCACACATAGCTACATGGCTCCTACCCTGTCCCAGAGAAGCCTAGCAAAGGATAGAAATTTGCTTTTTTCTGCTTCTGTTAGTATTGGGAGAATTACCTGGAACCTCCTTGTTCAGGCAAGACCCCACAGGTGCCCCACCCAGTGGTTTGACCCCTAAGTTGTGCTGCTGTCTGCAGTGGCACGGTCGCTACTGCCATGTGTCTGCTCTGTGCCAGCAATGTTGGTGTCGTACGCACTCACATGCTCAGGGCAGAGCTGGGCCATGGAACTTGGAGTAACCTGCTCATGCCCCTTTGTGCCAGAACTTTGGTTTGAACTTCCTTCTGGCTTTTTTTTCTCTTTTTTACCTGTAGTGTGTGTCTCTGAGTGTGGGGTGGGCTCTCTCATAACACCCTCGGCCACTAGAAGGGAGATTGACTATAAACTGAGAACTGCTCCTTCCTGCAACTGTGAGCCCACATTGTCACACTGCTGCCCTGAGCCAGAGGACCCCTTGCCTGGAAAGGTGGCTGATCTATTGGGCTCAGAGCATCCCTGGAGTTTCTATTCTGGTGTGCTGGGGGATGGTGGGCCCTGTCTAAGGTCCCAATGTAGCTGCAGCCTAGGCCCTTCCCATTGGTCCTAGACACCCTCCCTACCCACACCCTCTGCAAGGATACCAGTGATGCCCAACAGGCCTGTGCAGAGGATGCAAAGGTGCTGGAAGCAGTCCTCACCTCAGGGAAGCAGGCTAAGTGGGGCCCTGGCAGAGCCTGGGGTTGTCTGACAAAACACAGTGGGGGCTGAGTTCAACCTACTGATAGTGCACAAGGCCAGGCCCCTCCCCTCACCATGGCAGCCTTGTCTTCTAGGTCACAGTTGGCAGCATCTTTGAAGTGGTCTGGGCAATCTTCAGGCCAGGCACATCTTTTGGAATCAGCGTCTTGAGAGCTCTCCGGCTTCTGAGAATATTTAAAATAACAAAGTAAGTGACGGGCTATTAGATGGAGCCTGCTCAGCCTCACTGTGCTCCTGAACCCTCCTTTCCCTGTCACACATGCCCAACACACCATCTCTAGAATCAAGCCAGAAAACCAGCTGTGCAGCTAGATCCCACCAAGATGCCAAGGGGACTTGTGACTGGCTGCTGCTGCTCAGTGCCTGCACCTTAATCCCCAGCTGCCAGACAGAAGCAGGCCGGACATGGGGTTGATGTGGTGTCCAGCTTCCACAGCTGTCGCATGTCTGGGTCCTGCAGGTACTGGATACCTCCTCTATGGGTGTCCACTGCTCATAGCTGTCACATGTCTGGGTCCTGTAGGTGCTAGACACCTGCTCCATAGGTGTCCGCTGCTCATAGCTGTCACATGTCTGGGTAGGTGCTGGACACCTCCTCTATGGGTGTCCTAGCGCTCACAGTGGTCAGCAGGTACTGAACACCTGCTCTATGGATGTCCATTGCTCATAACTGTTGCGTGCCTGGGTCCCGTAGGTACTGGGCACCTGCTCTATGGGTGTCCAGTGCTCACAGCAGCCACGTCTGTGGGTCCTGTAGGTACTGGGCTTCTCTACGGAATCTTGTGGTCTCCCTGATGAGCTCCATGAAGTCCATTATCAGTCTGCTCTTTCTCCTCTTCCTATTCATCGTGGTCTTCGCCCTTCTTGGTATGCAGCTGTTTGGCGGCAGGTAAGCACCAATGCCTGCTCATTACTGTCCACTCCTCTGCTGGCCATGTCACCATCTCCTCTGCTCTGTAGGTTTGTAGGTGCTGGCATCTCTGCCACGCACCTGCTCCCAGGGCCTGACTCTGGAGCTGTCTCTGAGGTACAGTTTGGACCCTCAGACTCTGCAGCCAGCCCTGGTCATGACCTGCTCCCTTCAATTCATTCGTCATTTGCAATGTTCACCAACATAGCCCTTAATGTTACATGGAGTGGAAGCAGTGGTGGGAGGACACGGGAGTGGGGAAGGGAAGTGCACAGAGCTGTAGTCTGAGGAGAAAGCCTGTGTCCATGAGGTTCATCCACCTGCCTCTCTCAATCTCCTCCCAGGTTTAATTTCAACGATGGGACACCTTCAGCAAACTTTGACACTTTTCCTGCCGCCATCATGACTGTATTCCAGGTACAAGGCCATCTGCCACTCTAGGCTCCTCCTGGCCACAGCCCTTGTCCTTGCTGAGTGGACATGGCCAAGGGACTCTGTGGCTCTGCTCTCTCCCAGTTCTTGTCCTACAACTGTGAATCTGCAAGATGGAATAGGGGTTATACTGACAGTTCCCCAACCTGCCGCATCTCCTAACTCGTGGCTGTTTAGTGAAGTTTTATCCTTTCCCTCTCAAAGCCACAGGATTAAATCATGAAGGAAACACAAAATCTACAGTGTCTTAGAACCAAAGGGACCCCAAGAGCTTGTGTCTGAGGTGAACCCAGAGCAAAAGCATCCTAGGTAGGAGCCCCAGGACCATCATGACACTTCAGGCCGTGTGAGGTCAGGGCCAGGCCTCCTGACCAGTACATTTCCATATGTCCAGCCAGCGCCAGACCTCCTGGCATGTGTGTTTTCCATGTCACCCAGCAAAGCTTCAACAGGGAGGACTCTTGTTTGAAGACTGAGTTCCTTTTTAAATATATCCATTTATTCATTCACTCGATTTGAGAGACAAAAAGCCAGAGGAGACTTGAAACAGCCAACAAAATTTGACCACCAACTTGTCTACTCCCCAGATGCCTACAAAAGCCAGACCTGGCCAGGCTGGAGCCATGAATCCAGAAGTCAATCTATCTGCCCCATGGGTGGCAGGGATCCATGTTTGCAGGAAGCTGGAATCAGAGCAGCCAGGACTTGAACCCTTGTCCTACAGGGTGTCTTAACCCTGCTCTCTAGTCGCCCATGCCAGAACACAAGCCTAAAGCTCCCTTCCACGTCAAGAGCCTTCCCTGGGAATGGCTCTTGTCCTGCCTGACAGAATGGCCAATGGGTTTGGCATGTCTACCTGTCTGCAGCACCCAGGTCTCTGATCTTTCTGTGTCTGTGCAGATCCTGACCGGAGAGGACTGGAATGAGGTGATGTACAACGGCATCCGCTCGCAAGGTGGTGTCAGCTCGGGCATGTGGTCAGCAGTCTACTTCATTGTACTCACCTTGTTTGGAAACTGTATCCTTGGCCAGGTGTCCTGTGTAGGCTGCTGCCTTCTGGAACTTGCACTCGAGGGGAATTGAGGGGCAGCTGCAGGGCTGTGGACAGTGAGAGCTGTCCTCACATAGTACCTGTCCACCAGCTGGGGAGAGGCCTTAAGGCTGCAGTGTGCAAGAGTGAGGTGCTGGGGCTACTGCAGGGAGCAGTGGTAAGTGCTGCACCCTGGGAAGAGGAGTGGCTGTGGTTGTGGGCTCACCAAATGCTCACATGGGATGACCTGCTGCAGTGGCTGGGGCCTGCTGTGGGGATGCCACACTCATGTCCTGGTACCAGTTACAAAGCAGGCATCACCTTGTTTAATCCTTACCTTGTGAGATAGGAAAGAAAACGATGGTAAGGCAAACGACTGCTAAGTTGTGAAGGGGGCTTGAAACCATGTCTCTCTCATTCGAGATGCAGTCAGGTCAAAGGGACCGTGTCAAGAAGGTTTTGTGGCTTATCTACCGCATGCCCTTGTGGAAGTCCTGCTTGCCCACCTCATGACCTTCTGGGAGTCGTGCATACCAACCACATGGCCTTCTGATAGTTGTACTTACCTACCGTGTAGCACTGAATCATGCTTATCTACCATGTGGCCTTGTGGGAGTCATACCCACTGTGTGGCCTTGTGGGAGTCGAGCTTACCCACTGTGTGACTCATGAGAGTCGAGCTTACCCACCTTATGGGAGTCACACTTACCCAATGCATAGAATTGTTGGAGTCGAGTTTACCCACCGTGTGGCCTTGTGGAAGTTGAGCTTACCCACCACGTGGCCTTTGAGAGTCATACTTATCTACCATGTGGCCTTGTAGAAGTCACACTTACCTACCATGTGGCCTTTGGGAGTCATGCTTCCCCACCATATGAGCCTTTGGGAGTTGTGTTTACCTACCACATGGCCTTGTGAGAATTATGCTTACCCACCACATGGCCTTGTGGGAGTTGTGCTTACATACTGCATGGCCTTGGGTCATTGCCTGGCCTCTCTGAGCTTAATTCCCACCTGTGAGAGGAAGACAGCAGGACCTCGCTCCCTGTTTCCTGTGGTTATCATGCCGGGGTACCTTATGAACTGTAAGCTTCTAGTCATGTCGGATAGTTGGGCACAATGCACAGCCCGAACAAAAGTGACTATAACCCGAGGACTTCTGGGGTCAGAAAAGACTGGACATTGGAAGAGAGAAACCCATGGGCAGAGCTGTGCCATGGGTCCCAGGAACAGGGCAATGGGTCCCACAGAGCCCAGCATGCCCCATGAATCCCAGGAACAGGGCAATGGGTCCCACAGAGCCCAGGATGCCCCATGGGTCCCAGCAGCAGCTCTGTGCCCCCCCCCCAGAGCATTGACCTCAAACATCTGGGAGGCTGGGACCTCAGGAGTCAGAGCACAGGAGAAGATTCCTGTCAGGAGGGATGGAGAATCCTTTAGGACCCAAGGGAGGGGAGAGGAGGATATTAGTGCTCACAATGGAGCCAGGCTGCCACCTGTTGAGTGCTGAAGAGTCTGATGCTACTGGCCTGGTGGCACTCCTGCCAAAGGCCCTCTTTCTGTGTTTGTCCAGGGCTTCCTCACCATCTTGGGGCAAGGACAGGGTATGATATAGGAAGGAGAGAAGAGAGGAGGTAAAAGGTCCCCTCTCTCAAAATCCCTGTGGGAACAGGAATGATCCTAGGCTGCCTCTGCCTCTGCCTCTGCCAGTGCCCTTAACTCTGCCCCAGACACACTGTTGAATGTGTTCTTGGCCATCGCTGTGGACAATCTAGCCAATGCCCAGGAATTGACGAAGGTGAGCCTGCTCTCTGGTGTCTGGGGAAACTCCTCAGGCCCTCTGGAAGTTTCTAGAAGTCCACGTGGGAGGCCTAGTTCTTACCCCTGAGTCTGGAGAGCCTCATGCCAACCTGTGTCTATAGCAGGTGACTAGGGCTGCTGGAGTGCTCTCTGGACTGTGAACGTGGAATGGAGTTCATCCCCTGTGGCCAGCCAGTTGCCACCTGAGTCATGTGAACTGTTACAGCTTTGGGTCTGAGCAGGCTGTGGTATCTCAGTGGCCACAGTCATTCTAGGAAGATATCCACAAAGCTAGAATCCTCTCTGGGAGCTCTACTTCCTCTTCCTCCATGGGAAGAAGCTTTGCAAGGAGGTGCACAAAGCTCCCCTCCACGCGGGGTGCTGGCAGTGAGCTGCTTCTCCCCTTGCCTGCATGGTCTGGCAGGGAGCTTGTGCAGCTGGCCCCCAGGAACCTGGATTTGCCCAGATCTGGGTTCTAGCTGCTATGTCATGGACCAGGCCTTGCTTCCCTAGTGTGTGGATGTCTGGAGTCTTCATGGGAGCCATAAGTTGAAGAGGAATGAAGTAAGGGCCAGGGTAAACCCAGCCTTGTTGCTGAGTGGTGGATGCAGGTGGGGTTGGGGCTCCCAGGTGTCAGATGACCTTGGCCAGGCTGACCTCACTCTGTCCCCACCATACCGTGCCTGGTCTTAAGAACTCCCTGGCTAAGCTGCCTCTGTTTCATTCTAGGATGAGCAGGAAGAAGAGGAGGCCTTCAACCAAAAGCATGCCCTGCAGAAGGCCAAGGAGGTCAGCCCGATGTCCGCACCCAATGTGCCCTCCATTGAGTAAGTCGGGGCCCTTTTTGAGCCAACCAGCCAGTGCAGGCCTGGGCTGCACTGTAAGGACGGCAAGCACAGGACACTCTTTTCAGAGGGTAGAAGGGGTGCAGTGAGGGGGTTCCCTGGAGAAGCTGTGCAACCCAAGGCAGTGGTTGTGGACCATTGTGAGGAAGGGGTCAGCAGGGTGTGTCTGACAGGCAGTAGTGAGAAAGTAAGTATGGTGGAAAGCCACAAGCCCTCTGGGCCCAGGTGGAGGGCTTGGCTCCTATGGTGCACAAGCAGGAGACAAATCTCCCTGAAGGGCACCCTGGGCCATGAAGGCAGATGTGGGCTGAGAGAGGTCCAAGAAAGGGCTGTGATTTAGACAGGAAGGAATCACCTCAGCCTGGGGCTGAGGAGGGAGAAACTCTGGAACATGGCAGCTTGTTCAAAACAATGGGGTAAAGTTAGAAAGAGAAGTGGCAGAACCCCATTGGGATAGCTTTGGGATAGCTTTGAGGATACCCGGTTGGTGGGTGAGGGTGGCACTCAGGCTCCTAGGGCCAGCAAGACCACAGTGCACTTGGGAACGTTAAGAACTTCCTGAGGCAGCTGATGCTGAACAGCCTTGGGTTGTCTGAGTCTGTAGCTTAAGAATCAGGGTTGAAATCAAGATTGGAGGACATCATTCACGTTTAGAAGCATCCCAGGGTCAATGAAGGTGAGGTGGCCCAGGCAGAGGGGGACTGCCTGTCAGGGTCTGGAAGGCCTGGACATCGGCTGGGATGCTGTCTGTCCTGGAGCCTGTTCAAGAAGCTTGGAAGCCAGGGCTACTCTTGAAAGATCACCCACAGGAGGACAGAAAAGGAGTCCTTGGCCTGGAAAAGGAAGCTCCTACTGACCTGGGATAGGTAGATTCATGGCCAGCCAGGTAGATGGAGAGCACAGGGCAGTTCACCCTGTGGGACCTAGCGTGGCCTGTGGCCACTGGCAGAACCAGGTATGAAACTGAACCCCACAGGGTGGGGCATAGACAGGACCTGGGTGTTGGGATCCTGTAGCTAGCTAGCCCTTGGGAAGGATGTCAGATCCGGGACTGGATCCCTCCCTGATGTCTAAGGATGTGACAGGAGGGAGACTGCATTGTTGCTGCAGAACTCATGCAGAGGCTGTGGACTATCTGCTGAAGGATTATCTGTGAAGACCCCCATAGGCCAGTACCTCCCACAGCAGTGCCAGCACGTTCCCATCAGGGTCACCATGTGTGCTGGAGAGCAGCATTTGGGGGTGTCAGGATCTCTTTGACAAGGAGACATGCACTGCCTCCTCGTGTCCTGCTGCAGGAATGTGTGTGTGTGTGTGTGTGTGAGAGAGAGAGAGAGAGAGAGAGAGAGAGAGAGAATGTGCAGCTTGAAGAATTTGCATCTCTGCATGTGTGTGGAGAGGCGAAGAAAGGGGTGTGTGTGTGGGTGGGTGTGTATGTGTGTGTGAAAGGGAGACAAGGAGGGAGAGGGGCAGGCAGCACAGGGGAGGTAAGAAAGGTCTTTGACTCTCACTTCACTGCAGGCACTTTTGGAGGCCATATCTGAATATTGCAAAATTGCAGTGGGTGCAGGTGCTGCTGCTGGTCAGGGCTCTGTGTCTGTCTCTAGGTCCCACACATGCCTCTTGGAATCCTGCCCCTCCTGTGCCCCATGGCATCCCAGGTGACCAGTACTAGGGGTATGCTTGATTGGAGAGTTTGTGGACATCTCCAGTGATGTCTGCCTCTTTCACATGCACTCCACGTCAACCATCAACCGATACCCAGGGGAAGGCCCCAGGCTGGCTGTCTGCCCCTTAGGCTTCCCTGCAGCCATGCGAAGAGGCTATGGTCCTGCTTCAGGCAGTATTTGAAGTGTGTGGCCTTTATCAATAGTTATCAGGTGTCTCCCTCCACCCTTGACCCTGTGGGACAGACCCATCATACCAGGCATCCTGTCTGCCATCAAAGCCCCACCACACCTGCTCCCTCCTGCCCACTGGCCCTGGGCAGACTCTGGAGAGTGCTGGGTATGTGGACAGTGTTCCTGTGTGTGACTGAAGCCACTGCTGTGCTCTGCCTGGCTGCAGCCTGACCAGGCCACTGTGTACTCAGACATGGTCCAGAGGGCTTGGTGGTGGCTCCCTCAGGCTAGGGCCTGCCCCTCACTGCATGCCCTGTTTCTCACCATGTGAACACTGTGCTGCCCAGGCACGACTGGGTGATGGCCCACTGCTCACAGTGGATGCTTTGGTTTTTCATTTTTTATAAGATTTGTTTATTTATTTGAAATATTGGGTGAAAGAAAATCTTATATCTGCTGGTTCACTCCACAAATGGCCACAACAGCAGAGTCAGGGCCAGGTTAAGGTCAGGAGCCAGGAGTTTCTTCCAGGTCTCCCCTGTGGGTGCACAGGCACAAGCATTTGGGCCATCCTCCACTGCTTTCTCAGTCACGTTAGCAGAGAAATGGAGCAGCCAAAACTTGAACCGGTGCCCACATGGGATGCTGGTGAGGCAGGTAGAAACTTATTCTGCTGCAAGGCAGAACGGGTTTGCAAAGGGATTCTGAGGGTGTTAGCATCCGGTTGCCAGTACAGTCTTCACTGAGCTGGGAGTAAGATGGGGTGTCCTCTGCCCTTGCACATGTGTGTGGAAGACAGGATCTGTGTGTTTCCACACAACAGGGACCAGAACTCTTCCACAGGGATGATCGGGACCCAGGTCTATGGGGTGCACCAGAGCCAAGGACATGTGAATACCCAGCCTCCAGGGCTGCTGGTGGCCTTGGGCACATGGCCCCAAGCAGTGGGGCACTGAACTGTCCTTTCTCTTTCCCAGAAGAGACAGGAGGAGAAGACACCACATGTCGATGTGGGAGCCACGCAGCAGCCACCTGTATGTGTGCGCCGGTTTGTGTGTCTGTGATTGGCTACATGTGGGTGTGGGGACCATATGTCTCCATCCTTGCTGTGGGCCCGTGGCACTGGGTGTGCATGTCAGTGTGTGCCTTGGTGTGCGTGTACGTTCTATATATGTGACCTGCCTTTGCACCTTTTAACGTGCATTTGTATCCATATGTGTCCAAAGCACGTGGCCCTGTGTCTCTGCTCTTACATCTGGTCGTGAGTAGGAATGTGTGCTGGTGACCGGTGTCAGTGGGCAGCTGTGCACAGGGCATGTGTGGAGCAAGTGCATCCCCTCACAGGAGAAGGTGCGAGCCTGCAAGCATAGGCAACAGAAGCCCTCCTGTGTCTCCCCATGTCTTCCTGCCACCTCAGCTGGCTACCAGCTCTGAGCCTAGCGGGTGGTGGTCTGCACATGCAGTGTGCTGGGTTTGTGACACAGGTCTGTGGTCAACCAATGCTGGACTCTGAGGGATAGGACAACTTGGCATTATAGCCGCCTTCTGTTGGTGTCTGGTCTGCATCCTGCCCTGCCCTGGCTGCCCTGGACTGCCCTACCCTAGCAGGAACGGGCAGGACAGGGTGATGTTTTGACTTTGAAGGGTGTTGGTGGACATAGCGGGCCTGGCTGATGTCCTGAGAGCCAAGGAGGCTGTAAGGAAAGTCCCCCAGAGGCCCCTGTAGGATGGCCCTACAGGCCCTGGGGGTCCTGCCCTACCCTCGGCTGCCAGCAGAGGAGGCCTGGCCCACTCGGCTCCCATGTCTCTCTGTGCTTCCTGTCTGCAGGCCATGGGCCCCGCCTGCCCTGTGTCCTGTGCCCTCAGCCCCTGACACCAACCCCACCCTCTCACCTTTGCCAGGAGGGAGCGGCGGCGGCGGCACCATATGTCTGTGTGGGAGCAGCGCACAAGCCAGCTGCGGAGACACATGCAGATGTCCAGCCAGGAGGCTCTCAACAAGGACGAGGCCCCCCCAATGAACCCCCTCAACCCACTCAACCCCCTGAGTCCCCTCAACCCACTCAATGCCCACCCCAGTCTCTACAGGAGACCACGGCCCATCGAGGGCCTGGCCTTGGGCCTGGGCTTGGACAAGTGTGAGGAGGAGCGTGCCAACCGTGGCGGGTCCCTCAAGGGGGTCCTGGACAGCCAGAGGAGCCCCTTGTCCCTGGGCAGACGGGAGCCACCATGGCTGGCCAGGCCCTGTCATGGGAACTGTGAGCCAGCCCCACAGGAGACAACTGGTGGGGAAACTGTGGTCACCTTTGAGGACCAGGCCAGGCACAGGCAGAGCCAGAGGCGTAGCCGGCACCGTCGAGTCCGGACAGAAGCCAAGGAGTCTTCCTCAGCCTCGCGGAGCAGGTCGGCCAGCCAGGAGCGGAACTTAGACGAGGGGACGTTGACTGCAGCCGAGAGGGGCCAAGAGGCCCAGGGCAGCCTTGGCAAGGAGCCAATGATCCACGAAGAAGAGCAAGCTCAGGATTCACGCAGGTAAAGGAAGCCCAGTGTGTCCCTGGCCTGGCCTTGGCTTCCCTCCATGAGCTGCAACTCACGTAGCCCACAAGGGCAAGAATGGCCGCCATAGCACAGCCCTCCAGAGGTGTCCCTGTGGCAGCAGGAGACCCAGAAGGGAGGGGCAGAGGGACACAGGAGGCTGAGGGGACCTTGTGCTCTGGCACCCCCCCTTGGCTCCTCACAGTCCCTGTCATGCTTGGTGCATCCACCTCTGTCTTCACAGGACAGGCTCGGGGCTGGCCGGAACCCTTGAGGGGGCAGACACAGCTCTGACCCCACCCCTGCCTGAGCTGGATGAGGGCCAGGATGCAACATCTACTGAGCAGCAGCTGAGAGCCAGCCAGGAGCCCTCGCTGCAGGGACACGTGCAGCTGGATGTGGGCAGGGCCATCAGCCAGAGTGAGCCTGACCTCTCCTGCACAGCCACCACAGAAAAGGTCGCCACTGAGAGCAGTGATGTCACTGTGGCCATCCCTGACGCAGAACCCCTGGTGGATTCTACAGTTGTGCACAGTGAGCATCTGGTCCACCCCAACCCTGTGGAGCTGGGGGAGGTGCTTGGGGGTAGTGGGGAAACCCATCACTCAGTGGTGTTCTCAGACCTTGCCGTGGTAGTGAGGGCAGTGTTTAGTGGGCCTCCAGTGTGGCCACCTCAAGCCATTGCATTAAGACAGAGGCTTGAGGATGGCTGGAGTAGAGCCCCAGCTTTGTGACGCCCTCTGTGGGGACAGCCATGCGTGTCCCAGCTGGAGGGCTGGAGGTTCAGTCACAAAGGGCAGTACACAGGCAGTCTGTGGACCCATGGCCAGGGTGTATATGGGGACCTTGCCACCGGGAGGGTCCAGAGACGGCTGAACACACCCATCCTCTCTGAAAATGAGGGGCTCCTATGTGGTTCTGAACCCTGCACACATTCCTGTCCAGTCAGCAACAAGACGGATGGAGAAGCTAGTCCTCTGAAGGAGGCTGAAAGCAAGGAGGCCGAGCAGGAGACAGAGAAAACGAAGAAGAAGGAGAGGCCAGCGGGTGGCAAAGCCATGGTGCCCCACAGTTCCATGTTCATCTTCAGCACCAGCAATCCGTGAGAAACCAGACAGCACCACCCCGGCTTCAGCCACAGGGAGCAGGGAGGCGAGGGAGGGGCCCCTGGTCCCCCCTGGGGGGCAGATACAAAGGAGGTGGGTTTACACCAGAACCCAGAGAGAGATAAAGAGAGGGCTGGGGCCAGAATAGCAGGGGTCAAAGGGTCCCATGTAGAGGCCTTGGATGGGTCAGGAGGGGTCAAAGGTTCACAGTAAATAAAGGCCCTAGACTGGTCAGCGGGGGTTACAGAATCTCAGTGGAGAGGGCCTCGCCAGGTCAGCAGGAGTCACAGGGTCACATTGTAGAGAGAACCTGGACAGGTCAGCTGGGGTTACAGGGTACCATATCAAGAGGCCCTGGACATGTCAACAGGATCACAGGGTCACAGTGCAGAGAGGCCTGGCCGGGTCAGCAGGGCCAAAGGGTTACAGTGCAGAGAGGCACTGGACAGGTCAGCAGAGCCACGGGGTCACAGTGCAGAGGCCTGGTCGGGTAGGCAGAGCCACAGGGTCACAGTGCAGAGACCTGGCTGGGTCAGCAGGACCACAGGGTCACAGTGCAGAGAGGCACTGGACAGGTCAGCAGGGCCACGGGGTCACAGTGCAGAGGCCTGGTCGGGTAGGCAGAGCCACAGGGTCACAGTGCAGAGACCTGGCTGGGTCAGCAGGACCACAGGGTCACAGTGCAGAGAGGCACTGGACAGGTCAGCAGGGCCACGGGGTCACAGTGCAGAGGCCTGGTCAGGTAGGCAGAGCCACAGGGTCACAGTGCAGAGACCTGGCTGGGTCAGCAGGACCACAGGGTCACAGTGCAGAGAGGCACTGGACAGGTCAGCAGGGCCACGGGGTCACAGTGCAGACAGGCCCTTCACTCCTAAGTACCTCGTGGATAGAGGAAATGTGCTTCCTGCATGCAGATACTGCAGATGTGGACCAAGCTGCTGGTGTGGAGCCCAGAATGGTCTGTCCCCTCTGTGGGCCAGGAGTTCTGGCCGTGCCAAGTTTATAGCAAAGCTCGGGCTTTGCTGGGAAGCTTGGGCAGTCACCCCCAATGTAGGTGATGGGGAGAAGGAACGTGAGAGCTTCTGGCGCTGAGTGGGCAGGGCCATGGAGAGGGTGCAGGCCAGGGAATCCTCATTGACTAAAAATAGCCCCAGAATCCACACCACAAGGGAGAGGGAATAGTGAGCCTTGTGACCCAAGTCTGTGCAGCTAGTACAGGCCGTGCTCACTGACCCTGCACCTGTCCGGTACAGTCTGTGGCCCCCTGCTTCTCTTCCTCTGGGTGCCGCCCCAAGAGAGTGTCAAGTGCAGTCATTCTCCCAGCAGTTTCCTTGGATGAGGGCTTCACCATTGGGCCAGGGCAGTGGCTGGGCAGGGACAGACCTCTCACTGGGGCCAACCCCACAGGATCCGGAGAGCCTGCCACTACATTGTGAACCTGCGCTACTTTGAGATGTGCATCCTGCTGGTGATTGCGGCCAGCAGTATCGCCCTGGCAGCCGAGGACCCCGTGCTGACCAACTCGGAGCGCAACAGAGTGCGTGCATGGCCTGGGACAGGTTCTTGGGGGGAGAGCTTGCCGGGGGTCAAGGGTCAAGAAATCGCCCATTTCTGTTCTTCAGGGCAAAATGCGAGCTATTTTCAAGTGAGCCCAAAGCCCCACCACATGGCCCACATGCAGCAGAGAGGACACGTGTGGATCTGGCATGGCCTACGCACAGCTGTGAGGGCCATGTGTAGAGCCCCATGACACAGCTCATATGTGCAGCCAACATGAAGTGACAGTGCTGTGGGCTGCTGAGCTCTGCTGGTCTGCCTCAGAGAACCCAGGATATCTCCTGGAGGGCTTTCAGGTTACCAGGAGGTAGGAAGGACCCAGAGACTCCAGTCCTCAGCCAGATCCTGAGGGTCAGGTCTGGGGCAATCCAGACCCAGCAAGTCACGTTCCAGCCAAGACCAGATTCTAGAGTGCCTGTAGGCTTAGGGAGCATAAGGCCTCATGTGGGCAGCTTCATAGAGCCTTCTTCTCCCATGTGTCCATAGGTCCTGCGCTATTTTGACTATGTGTTCACTGGCGTGTTTACCTTTGAGATGGTCATAAAGGTAAGGTGCCACTTTGCGACCCTGGGCGCGGTTTGGGCTGCCTGCCAGCTGCCCAGAGGTGTGTAAACAACGTGGGCAGTGCCCCACTTAAACCTACCCTCACTCCTGGCCTATATATGTCCAGGAGCATGGTACCATGGGGCTCTGAGCAGGGGTGGCAGGTGTCGCCAACAGCCCTGGGCTCACCACCCATACCCTTCTCGTACAGATGATAGACCAGGGCTTGATCCTGCAGGACGGCTCCTACTTCCGAGACCTGTGGAACATCCTGGACTTTGTGGTAGTGGTCGGTGCCTTGGTGGCCTTTGCCCTGGCGTAAGTGGCTTTCTACCTCCCTGCCTCCTAAAGAATCCCCAAGGGCTGACCTGAGAATCGGGTCCTCTCTGGTGCCTCAGCACTCCCTGGAGCCCGTATGCTCTGAGGCACAAGAAAGGCAGTAGGTGCAGTGGTGGTGGGCAGCAGTTAGGGCGATCCTTGGGCCTCTTCCTGGGAGAGGAGGGGCTGGGACCAGCTCAGTGAGGGTTGGCCCACTCACATCTGGCGGGCCTTTTTGTTTCTCTGGTCTGTTGAGGGAGGAAGGAAATGGAGGGCCATGTGGAGTTAGGGAACCTGGGCCTCCAGGCCTGTGTCCAGGAGCTGTCAGGGCCAGTGCCATGCTAACTTCCAGGGGATAGGCTTTCCTGGATGTCAGGAAAGCATGGGAGGGGATGGCCTCAAACTGAGGCAGTGACCACACACATGAGGGGATGGACTCAAGCTGAGGCAGTGACACCCCCCAAACACACACATATACACATGGGAGGGGACAGCCTTGAGCCGAGGCAGTGACCCCAGACAGGAGGAGGTAGATTGAACCATGGCAGTCAGCCCCTAACCCCCCAATGCACACTGGGTAAGTGCTGACAGTCTTGTGCTCTGAGTGGGGCTGACCATACTCTCCTCTGAAAGGCAGCTCGGGACCCTAAAGCTGCTTTCCTCAGTGGTAGCTGTGAGAGGGAAGGGACAGGTAATCCTGCAGGCTGTCCCTCCTACAGCTAGTGGCTCCTGCAGACATGCCCCTGAGCAGAGCAGTAATGAGGAAGGGCTGCTGTCAGCTGCCCATACAGCCAGGGGAGCCTCCTGGGGTGAGCTATTGGTCATCCTTTGTCAGCGCTATATGAGGTCCCAATGGGGCCTGAGATGTCTGCAGCATGGATATCCTACAGGCCAGAGCAGGCCACCCAGCAAAGGCCTCCAGCACCACCGCCTCCTGCAGACCCCTTTCTTGTAGAGATGGGGTCCCTTTGGGCTGTGACCGTCAAATCCCTCGTTTTGTCTGTTCCTGTGTCTACATAGTTTGCCGTGTTTTCTGAGTTTTACCTCATCAAAATCCTCCATCTTTGAAGAATTAAAGATTAAAAGATGGGACAGAAAGATCCCCTCCCCTGCACCAGGTTTAGGGATTGGGTTGGGGTCACCCAGGCAGACCCTCTGCTGGGCACACAGTGTCCTGTGGTTCCCAAGCAGGAGCCAGGATATGTGTTGGTGCATACTATATACACATGGGTGAAGGCCAATGCGGTTTGGTTGGTCTAAGGTGTGTCTGCCCAGACAGCTGGAGCCAGGTGGGCGAGGGGTGGGAGAGGATTTTTGGAGGCGGCCCTTAGTGCTGCCCCAGGGCGGAGCAGGCCCAGCTGCTGCTGTTGTCACTTGTCTTGTTCTCTCTCTGCTCCTTGGCACCAGCACTGGTGGCTTTGGTGCTGGTGGCAGGGAGGCCTTAGCAGCCCGGAGCCGGAGCCTCTGCTGGTCCTCAGGCCAGGTACAGTGTGAGGAGCCGAAGCCCTGGCTCTGGGGCCCACACTTCGGGGATGGATCCAGCACCAAGATCCATCCCCTGCTGTTGGGGTGCCCCCTCTCGACCTCCCCATCCTTCTTCAGTGTGTGGTGGTGCTTGCTCACTCTGCATCGCCTCTGTTGTTGCCCCACAGCCCTCCCGCCATGCCCACACCCCGTTTCCTTTTCTACTCCCGTTGGGGCCTTGCCCTCCCTTCCCCAGCCTTGTCACATCTGCTGGGCCAGGGCCTGCTTCCACTCACTGCCATGCTTCCTAACTGCTATCTCCCAGCCTCATCAAGGGCACCAGAGAATTCAGCTCCTGGGGTTCCTGGGCAAGGTTTGGGGCTGCCCCCAACCACCACCTGCCCAAGTGAGGCACTGCCCAAGATGGAGAGTGGCAGGAATCCCTGGGCCCATGTCCCTTGGGGCAGGAAGCCAAATGTGGCTATGCCTGCGCAGATCAGGTGCCTTTTCTGATCAGATAGCCTTGCCTTCTTGCAAGTGGAACCATGCCCTTCAGAGGCTTCTGCAGAGCCTAACTCAGGAGCCTGAGCCACTAACAGTGCTTGCCATGGCAGCCGGGTCAAGTGGGCACTGCTGCAAACTCGAGCCCAACTCCACAGATACTGCCCTAACAGGGAGGGACTGTTCCAGAGGGTTGCTTTGTCCACCCAACCTGCTGCTGCAGAGGCCTGTGCTGCCTCCATGTATGTTGTCCATGACATATATGGTGTCTGTGTGGTGGCTGCACATGTGGAGTACAGGGCTTCATTATGATGAAGGCCTGGTAGATCCCAAATGGGAACCTCGTGGACTGTGGAAGAGGGAGTGGAAAGTGCTCTTCAAGAATGGGTCATCAGGGCAGGCAGTAGCTGTCCCTCACTGCCTGCCCACCCTGACATGGTTACGCATGTGTGAGTGTGCAGGTCTCCCGACGTACGCCCGGCTCTCTGCAGAGAAGGTGTGGCTGGCTGTAGATGCACGGGCTGCACCTGTGCTACTGAGCTGAGTTGGGTGAAGCCTGGCAAGCAGCACATGTCTCAGTGTTTCTGACTGAGAGGGGGCTTGTCCGGGATTGGCCTTTCCAGTCTCCTCGCACCCTTTCACCATCACTGTACCTCACGATGGGGAAACGGAGATGGTTACGGCCTTGGCATTTCTGGTCTCTGCAGGTCAGGCATGTACTCTCACTCTAGGGAGCCCCCAGACTCAGTGGCATGGAAGGAGGCCATGTGACCACAGTGTGGTGTGCGGGTCCCACACGGGGAGGTCAGGGATGTCTGCAGCCTTGCTTCTTGTGGCTTTCTTGTGTGGGTAGGATCAGGACAGCATCTGCGCATGTGTGTCTTGCTTGTATTATATTGCTTGTATTATATTGTGGAGGCATATGTGAGTGCATTGTGAATGTTCATGCTTGTATTTCATGTATGCATGCATGTGTGAGGTTGCATGTACCTGTGCAACCTGTGTGTGTGCATGTGTGCAGTGTCTGTTCTCTGCAGTATGCCCAGGTGTCTCTGTGCACATTCTACCTCCACGTGCGCACATGTGTGCATGTGTGTTTTTTTGTGTATACGTGTGCAGTGTTTGTTCTCTGCAGTATGCCCTGGTGTCTCTGTGTACATTCTACCTCCACGTGCATGTGTGTGTGTGCATGTGTGCAGTGTCTGTATACGTGTGCAGGTGTTTTCTGCAGTATGTCCGCGTGTCTCTGTGCACATTCTACCTCCACGTGCGCACGTGTGTGTGCATGTGTGTATGTGTGCAGTGTCTGTTCTCTGCAGTATGCCCAAGTGTCTCTGTGCACATTCTACCTCCTCGTACATGTGTGTGTGTGCATGTGTGTATGTCTGTATACGTGTGCAGTGTCTGTTCTCTGCAGTATGCCCAGGTGTCTCTGTGCACATTCTACCTCCACGTGCATGTGTGTGTGTGCATGTGTGCAGTGTCTGTATACGTGTGCAGGTGTTTTCTGCAGTATGCCCAGGTGTCTCTGTGCACATTCTACCTCCTCGTACATGTGTGTGTGTGTGTATACGTGTGCAGTGTCTGTTCTCTGCAGTATGCCCAAGTGTCTCTGTGCACATTCTACCTCCACGTGCATGTGTGTGTGTGCATGTGTGTATGTCTGTGTACGTGTGCAGGTGTTTTCTGCAGTATGCCCGGTGTCTCTGTGCACATTCTACCTCCTCGTGCATGTGCATGTGTGTGTGTGCATGTGTGCAGTGTCTGTATACGTGTGCAGGTGTTTTCTGCAGTATGCCCAAGTGTCTCTGTGCACATTCTATCTCCACGTGCATGTGTGTGTGTGTGTGTGTGTGTGTGTGTGCAGTGTCTGTTTACGTGTGCAGGTGTTCTCTGCAGTATGCCCGGGTGTCTCTGTGCACATTCTACCTCCACGTGCATGTGTGTGTGTGTGTGCATGTGTGTATGTCTGTATACGTGTGCAGGTGTTCTCTGCAGTATGCCCAGGTGTCTCTGTGCACATTCTACATCCACATGCATGAGTGTGTGTGCGTGTGTGTATGTCTGCACTCCACCCAGGACACTTTCTCCACTGCTCTGTGTCTCGTTAGCTCAGCTCAGGCACTGGGTGAGTGTGCCCAGCTTGGATTCTAAGTATTCAGCTACAGCTTGTGATTGTTCGTCAGTATACAGATTTTCAGGAAAACTGCCAATGATTCTGTCTCTACCTTCTCCCTCCAGCAGTAGGTCCCACAGGTTCTGGAGGCTAGTACCAGAGTGCCCTGTTGCCCTTTGGCCTTGGGACACAGGGTGAGACTAGGACTTCCAGCCTATGGGGACCTGGTTCACAGCCACACTTGGGCCACCTAGTCCTTGGCTAGAAAGGAAACATGAGGCTGTGTACCACGGAGGCTGGAGGGGAAAGGTGCCCCAAGTAGTTTGCACTGCCCTCCTCATCCATCTAGGAAAGCCCAAGGTCAGGCAGGCTGCAGGGGCTAGAGAGGAGGCAGGCCTCAGGCTACTGTGCCCAGCAGCAAACCTGCATGTGTCATGTCTGGGAGAGCATGGTTGCAAGTGAGAGACCCACCCTGGGTGTGTACCTGAGGCCCTGGCTGTGGGTGTGAGTGCCCAAAGCCTCCTTGATGCCACAGCACAGGCTCGGAGAGACATGGCCCTAACTGGGAGTTCAGAGTAAACTATTGAACCGAATAAGATAAAAGCAGAGTATACAGAAGACTCCACAGCCTGGGGCTCCCAGCCTGCATAGGAGGCAGAGTCCCACAGCCTGAGGCTCTGGGCCACCACAGGTGAGGGGAACCCCCACAGCCTTAAGGCTCCTAGCCTACATGGAGCAGCATGGGTTTCCCAGCCAGTACAGCACTGGGTTTCCCAGCCAGTACAGGCAGGAGAAACCACCACAGCCCTGGGGATAAGCCCTTCATGGTGCTATTGATTTGAACGTAGCTTTGAAATTTACTTGGAACAGGCTTCCAGATAGTCCTACCTAGACTGAGTGACCTGCAAGCCCTCTGAGGGCCCACGTCCACGGGGACAAATCCATCTCCAGCTCAGGGAATCTTGGTGCAACTTGAGCTCACACTGAGGCCTCCTCAGAAAGACCAGCAACAAGGAGTCTGGCGGCCACAGGAGGAGTGCACCAGGGCACTGTGCCCCTGAGGTCTGAGACTTCTTTCACTTGTTCGCTTCTCAGGGCTGGGCCAGAGGGCTACCCAGGATAGGGTGTACAGCTGCTCTCAGGAGTATATAAGCACAGAGGTGAGACCAGGAGAGGATGGGTGGCAATTCTCGGAGGCCCATGGGCAGAAGCCACAACTGCATGAACCCTGGGTTCTGTTCTGAGAGCAGAGGATGGCCATAGGTGCAGAACCCCTGGGTGACCCTGGGAGGTGCTGTAGTATGGACAAGGAGCAGAAGCCACTGGTGCTGACTTAGCTTTTTGCCAGCAGGTGAGGCTGGTGTGACCTGCTTACCCCAGCAAGAAGGCCCTGCTGCCTCCTCTCCTCAGGCTAGGGGTTGGTTAACAAGCTTTTCTTGAGCTTCAGCATTTTCTGTTGTGTTAAGTTCTCCTCTACCTGTGAGGTGGTGTTGGTTTTGGGCCATGGAACCTTCAAGGTCAAAATGTGACAATTCTCTGTCTATAGTCCTCCTGTGAGGCCTGTGGGTGGGTGTAGAAGGCACCCAGAGCCACTTGCCTTGATTTCCCCCCCCCCAAATTTATTTATTTGAATGGCAGAGTTACAAAGAGTGGGAAGAAGAGATCATATACCTGATAGTTCACTCTCCAAGTGGCCCACAGCTAGGAGCTTCTGCCAGGTCTCCTGTGTGAGGACAGGGTCCCAAAGCTGTGGACCATCTTCTGCTTTCCCCAGCCATAAGTGGGGAACTGGATCAGAAGTCCTTGAATTGGTGCCCACGAGGTTGCCAGTGCTGCAGACAACTCTTCTGTCCACTGTGCTACAGCACTGGCCTCCTTCTGTGTGCTGTCTCTTCCACTGGTGGGAGGTGGGGGACTGTAGGCTTAAGATTTTATCTCAGAAGCTGTGGGGCTCCTTTACTGTCAGGCCTTAGTGAAAGCTTTCAATGGAAATGAATGTGGCTAAATAGTTGGCCCAACTGAGTGCCAAAGAAAAGTGAGAACAGTGAAGCCCAGTGGTGAAATTAGGCTCAGTACTAATGTTAGGAACACTTTAAACCCAGTTGAGGTGTCGTGGTGTGTTAGGCTATTCCATATTGGGCTGCCTGCTTTGGGGTCCTGGTTACTCCACACTTAACCCAGATTCCTGTGAGTGCAGTTGGGAGGCCATAGATGCTGATTCAAGTGGTGGGGCACTTGTCAACCCTGGGAGAGACCCAAATTGCACCTCTGCTTCTGGTTTTGGACTGACTCAGCCCTGGCTGTCAAAAGCATTTGCGGAGTGAACCAGCAGATGAAACATCTATATTGGTGTCTCTGTGTCTTACAAACAAACAAAAGATTGAAACAAAGCCAGATAAAATATTGCTAATTGATTACACAATATAAAAATAATCTAATAATACATTCAGTAACAAGAGCAAATATTTGTGTGATGGGCAATAAAAATCACATGTAATTTTCCAGAACAATGCCTAAAGATAGGGAAAAAAAAACTCGCCTTCCAGATTTCTGGGGGAATTGAGACACACTGTGGTCTGGTCAAAACAAATGGCTTAGACTCAACAACCTGTAGCCAGACACGCCACCTACTGTCCCTCACTGCCCATCTCCCCGTCTGCCCTCCCTCGCTGCCCATCTCCCCATCTGCGCTCCCTCACTGCCCATCTCCCCATCTGCGCTCCCTCACTGCCCGCCCCCTCATCTGCCCTCCCTCACTGCCTGTCCCCCGTCTGCCCTCCCTCACTGCCCGTCCCCCTGTCTGCCCTCCCTCACTTCCCGTCCCCCCATCTACTCTCCCTCATTGCCTGTCTCCCCATCTTTACCCCTCCAGTGTAATTTCCCAGTCTGGTCTAGTCCCATAGTAGAAACTGCAGAGGTGGGCTCTTGTCTGCAGTATGGAGTTTGATGTGTTCCTGTGAGAAACTCAGTAAAGAAGGCTTAGGTTGCCTAGGGAGCCTCCTACAGCTTGTGTGCCTGTCGAATTGGACAGCTGCTCACATGATACTGAGGCCAGGAGTGTCATGCAGGATCCCCAGTTGTCAAAGCATGGTGAACATGAACCAGAAGTGACTTAGATTCTGTCCTGTGACATGTCAGTAGGGTTGTTATGGGTACCCTTTCAGATGCCCTTGACAGGCCCCTGAGACAAAGTATGGGTTGAGGAGAAATAGAGCCTGCAGTGTGAGCTTCCTAGTCTATGTCCTAAGGTCTGCAAGACTGACCTGTGTGTTTTCCTGTGGCAAGGGGTGAGACATTGTCACTGAGTAGGCAGTCTCTTTCTGAGAGCCCTCCCTCTCCCTGTGGCGGCCTGCACCTGTGTGCATGGTGACTCGAGTCAGCCTGCCCTCCTGCACAGGTACGTCCTAGGAGGCTGGCAGCCTCATGTGTTTGCAATCTGGTGCCTAGCACCACACCTGGTATGGATGCATGGTATGTGAGCAAACATGGTGTGTGTGTGTGTGTGTGTGTGTGTGTAATCCACCATCTAATGCAGCATGTGTGTTTGGCTATCCACTGCATGTCTCATGTAATGCAGTGTGTATTGCTAACCCACCACAGATCCAGTCTAATGCAGCATGTGTGTGAGGATAACCCACCACATGCCCAGTGTAGTGCACAAGTGTGAGCTGACCCACTACATGCTCCACGTAATGCAGCATTTTTTGTGTGTGGCAGACCCACCACACATCCAGTCTAATACAATGTGTGAGCTGACCCAACACACCCAGTCTAATACAGTATGTGGGCTGACCTGCCACATGTTTCATCTTGTAAATAAGGTCACAGCTCACGAAGATGGGAGTTCATCACACCAAGGGTTCCAGGTCTGTCTCTCACTCCCAAATCAGTGTCCACCTAGCACTGTTTCTGGCAGTCTCACTGTCACCATGGCACTGGTGCTGAGGCACATGGGAAGTGTTTGCTGGTAGCCTAGCTGTGAGTGTGTCTGTCTCGAGGATGATGCTGGTCTTGCATTCCCACCTCTGGTGGAGCTGCAGGCGGTGTGTAAGCAGCTCCCAGTGGGCAGCCGCTGCCTGGTTTTGTTGAGAAGTGGCATGTGTGAGGGGCAGCAAGAGGCAAGCCCTTACTCTGAGCTGACAAATGAGAGTTCACAGTGGCCCCTGCAGTGGGCCAGGCTGTCCCTCATGGATGACCTCCTGTGTGACCGAGGCTGTGATGGAAGCAAGTTCCCTGGGACAGGATGAATGGCCCCAGTAGCTGGGCCTCTCTGTGAAGCCTGTGTCCCTCAGATGGGGCCCCGAGGAGGAGTGTGGTGCCTGTGAGCTATCAGCTAGGGACAGCTTCGTGGTGCAGAGTCCGTGAGTGCCAAGGCCGTGGTAGGCCCTAGCACCGTGCCTTTGTGAACCTACATTTCTCACTGCTTTGCTGACAACTTTCTTCTCTCCCTATGCCCGCCCTGTGCTGCCTGCCTCGGATTGGATTCGCATAGGAATGCTCTGGGGTAAATCTGTTTGATTTTCTTTGAAGCAAAAGATATGGGGGCGGGTTGAAGGAAGGAGAACTGTGCTGAGAACAGGGTGCTGGATGTGCGAGTGGTGTCTTCACTGCTACCCACGAGATCCATCAGCAGCTGCCAGACCTGGGGAAGGAGTATTCTTGTCCTGGGTTTGGGCTTCCTTAAGTACCTCTTGTAGATGTGCAGTGGGTGAACCTCTTACAGAGCAGAGGGAGCAACCTGTTATAGCAGGGGTGAGGGGAGATTGTTATAGTAGGTAGGGAGCCTGTTACAACAGGGAAGGGCTGTTATAGCATGGGTGGAGCCTGTTACAGCAAAACATTCCTTGGACCCTGAGTCCCCCAGGACCAAGGGTCACTCCGCTATGAGTCCTCCTGCCTGGGCTTGGGAGCAGTGACTCACACATCATGATGTGTGCCAAGTACAGGATCATCTCATGGGTTTCCTGGGGTCTTTTCCTCTCTTCTATGGCCCTGGTGGGATGATGTGGATGGAGCAGGCAGCTTCCTACTGATGCCAGCATCCCACTCCTGCATGGGTCACATGGTGAGGATCTAGGCCAGAGACTCCCTCATGGCTCAGCCTCCTCTCCTAACCATCTGTGCTTTCCCAAGTGAAATTATTTAAATGGGATGCAAAGAGCTCCAGGGATGAGCAGAGAGGAATGGGAAATGCAAGTTGATTATTCATTTCATTCCTAGAAATCAAGGAGGACGGAGAGTGCCGGGCAGCAAGGTGGCCAGAGAGCTGCTGCTGACTGGCCGGGTGGGTGCTGGCATCTCACTGGGTAGGAGCCCTTGAATAGGGACCTGCAAGATAGCTGCTGGTGGAAGCAACCCAGGGACAGGGCTTGCACTTCCCTGGCCTCCCACCTACTCTCTTACATCCTCCCCTCCTGGCTGTTCATCCCCTCAGCCACCCTTCTCCAGTTTTCCTGCCGGCTCTCTTCCCTGTCCCCCTCCCAGTGTCTCTTGTATGTGTGAGCTGTACAGAGCCAAGCCTTGGGAAGACCACACTCCTGATGTGTTCCAGTCAGCAGGTGTCATCTGGAAGGTTCTGGAAAATGTCTTGGGAAGCACAATGATGTGCAGATTGGCTGTGGTCCTGTGGGTGGTCGACGGGTCTTTCCCAGCACTTTGCTCCTATGGTGAAGGGCACTGAACAGTAGGATAGAGATAGGGTAGAGAGTGAGGAAGAGTCTGAATATGCATAGGTTCATACAGTGTGTGTGCGTGTACGCGTGTGTGCATATATATGTGTGCATATATTTGTGTGTGCATATGCGTGTCTGTGTGTGTATATGTGTATATGCATGCAGGGAGCAGCAGGGAGGAATCTGCTTGGATACAGTTCCTGGCCTCCTGCTCCCTGCCCCTTCACCCCTTGTGCTAGGACAGACCTGGGAATGTGGCTTTTCTTTCTTACCTGCACCCCTGCAGGACCAACAAGGGGCGTGACATCAAGACCATTAAGTCACTACGAGTGCTACGTGTGTTGCGGCCACTGAAGACCATCAAGCGCCTGCCCAAGCTCAAGGTGAGGTGCCTCAGCCCATGTGCCATGCTCACTGCACCTATATGTACCTGCTACATGCCTGCCCTGACCATGCCTGGAAGTTGAGCTGGTTTTCCTTTGTGGAAGCCAAGGGCCTTTGTCTCAAAGGAAAATGACCGCTGTCCAAAGATATATATACACGGGGCTTTGCGTGTGGGAACCACATGGTATGTGGGAGCCATGTGGCTCTCGTCTGTCTGCAGGTGATCCAAAATTGACAGCAGAGCGCTTCGTGTGCTGTCTCTGCACCTAGGGCAGCAGGTGACCTGGATGGTTTCCCTCAGGTCATCCTAGAGCTGGAAAGCAGTTTCTGTGGATGAGGACAGACACAGCCCGTTTCCCCAGAGGGCGAACACAAGGGAGGTGCTCACCAGGGTCTGTGCCTGATCCAGGGCCTGAGGCTCTGCCTCCCTGGAGCCTTGCTACCCTCAAAGTGGGCTTGCCTCTGCCCGCCCCTCCAGCCCCTGCCCCACATGCTGGTGACAATGGGGTGAAGGTCCATGGGAACACCTCACCTCCTCCCAGGTTCCTGGAATGAGAGCCAGGGCCCTTCAGCCCACGTGCTGCCAGCCAGACGGGCCTTACACCTACGTGCATCCTGAGGCACATGTGGAGACCTGTGGAACTGTGAGCTTCCCATGGGCCACCTATGTCAGGACCTACCTGGCTGCTTCCTACAAATGCAGGCTTCCAGGCCACTCTCAACACTGCCAGGTTCCTGCTGGCCCACCACAACCTCCCTGCCACCCCAGGCTGTCTGGGCTGGGTTGAGCTCCCAAACCCGCTCTCCGGGCACTATGGATGTGGCCTCATGGATAGGGGCCCAGGGTGCCCCTCAGCCGTGGGACTAGGGTGTCAGAACTCCTGAACATCCCATCTCCTTAATGGACAACACTCTGTCCCTCAGGTGTACTGTGGACAAAGGGAGCCAACCTTGGGGACCTCCAGTGGCCCCAGTGCCTAAGCACCAAGATGCCAGGACTACTTTTGGCTTTTCAGCCCTGGCTCCCTGCTGGGTTTTTGCCCTTTGATATTGCCTGGCCCTAGAATGCCACAAGGAAGAGTTCAAACAACCCAGATTGGATGGAAGAGAAGTCACTTCTGCAAGCCCCCTGCTGCCTGAGATGTGATCTCCTCCTGCACAGTCCAGCCCAGGGATGATGGCCCAGGTGCTCCCTGGCTCTCTGTCTGTCAGGTGTACCCCAGAAGCATCTGTTCCTCCTGGTAGAGTACCTTGCATGGTGTGTCTGGCCTGCACCTGGGCACTGGACACTGTCCTCTTGGCTGGGAAGCGTATTACCTGGCTGCCTGGGCCCCTGACCTGTTAGCCTTTCATTGGACCCTGTGGATTTCAAACAAGACACTTGGCAGAACCATGACCAAAGCCACTGCATGCCACTGCCTGCTGAGCTGGTTCCTCCCTGTGTGATGTGGTTATCTGAAACTCCCCAGAATAGCTTGACACCCAGTACCCTGCAGTACAGGGTGGATGAGCCCAACACTGCCTGTCCCCGACCAGCCTACTGGAGGGCAAGGCTTCAGGGTGTAAAACACAAACCCTGGGAGAAAACATGGCAGGTTCCCATGTAACTCCACATGGCTTAGGGCTTGGGATAAAGACTCTAGAGACCTTAGTGGGTGGGGTGGGGGCATTGGTTCTGAGCATCCAGGCTCTGTGTCTAGGACATCACTGCACCCTTGCCCTGTTGATGTCCATGCTGGGCAGAGCTTGGCCAGCAGAGCTGAGTACACACAGATACAGAGCAGATGTGCCCCTTTCCAGTAGAGACAGTGACACAAGAAGCTTGGAAACAAATCAGGGAATGTGGCTCACTGTGGGGAACGCAGCTTAGTAGACACCAGTAACGGGAACTGTGTGGTAGTAGACACAAATTTGGTAACTGTGAAGATCCCTCCCAACTCCAAATGCTATGAGCACCCCGCGGAGCATCCTGACCTGAGTTGGTATACATCCAGGACAACCTGGAGACTGGGCTTAGGCCCTGGGGTAGCCTCTTGATAGAACTGGTTCAGCTCTGGTCTGGGGTTCAGGCCTCAGAGGGGCTCAACTGTATGGCCTATCATGGTCCACAAGCCCTCAGGCTCTTGTCATGCACCATGCAATGACCCTACCAGCTCAGATCCCACAGACTGCCATTGTCTAGGGGTCATGGGCTCATGCCCAGGGTTCTGCCCTGCCTGAAACCTTGGGCTCACACCTGGGCTCTGCCCCTCTGTAGGCCGTGTTTGACTGTGTGGTGACCTCCCTAAAGAACGTCTTCAACATCCTCATCGTGTACAAGCTCTTCATGTTCATCTTCGCCGTGATTGCCGTGCAACTCTTCAAGGGAAAGTTCTTCTACTGCACAGACAGCTCCAAGGACACGGAGAAGGAGTGCATGTGAGTGCCCAAGTAGAGCACATATGTATACCACACACAGTGTACCCCATACAGAACACACAGGAACACAAACACAGTGCACCCCACACACAGTGTCCCTCACACGCAGTATATTCCACACAGTGTCCCTCATACCCTATGGACCTCACACTCTGTGTACCTCACAGTGTATCCCATACACAATGTCCCTCACACTCAGTGTAACTTATATACAATGTCCCTCACTCACACACAGTGTACCCCATACACAGTGTACCTTCACAGTGTACCACACATAGTGTATCCAACACCGTGTATCTCACACACAGCATACACCACACACACTGTACCCCCACACTCAATGTACCTCACACAGCATATATACCCCACACAGTGACCCTCACATACAGTGTCCCCAAGCACAATATCCCTCATGTAGTGTACCACACACATTGTACCCCACAGACAGCATACCTCACACACATTGCACCTCACACAGTGTACCAACACAGTGTCTCTCACACCTCATGTACCTCACACACAGTGTAACTTACACACAATGTACCTCACAGTGTCCCCCCCACACAGTGACCTTCATACACAGTGTACTCCACCCACAGTGTCCTTCACAGTGTACCACACACATAGTGTTCCTCACACACAGTGACCCTCACACACAGTATCTTTCACACAGTGTACCACACACAGTGTCCCTCACAGTGTATCCTACACACAGTGTATCCCACACACAGTGCCCCTCACAGTGTACCCCACATACAGTGTACTCCTACGCAGTGCACCACACAGTGTCATTCACACAGTGTACCACACACAGTGTCCCTCACAGTGTATCCTACACACAGTGTCCCTCACGCACAGAGTACCCCCTATGCAGTGTACCACATAGTGTCATTCACACACAGTGTACCACACATAGTGTCCATCACAGTGTATCCCACTCAGTGTCCCTCACACAGTGTACCCCACACACAATGTCCCTCACACATCTTTCTCCTCACATACAGTGTACCCCACATACAACGTACCTCATAGAGTACCTCATACACAGTGTACTCTACATACAGTAATAAGCCTCATACACTAAGCACATGTGCATGCTTTCTGCCTCGACCTTCTTTGTGTGACTCCTACAGCCTCCAGGTCCCACTGTTGCTCCTTCTCCTTCACTGGGTTCCTTTTCTCTGAGCAGAAAGACACAATAGGAATTTAGCAACTTGCATGGAGCCCCTCCCTTTGTCACACATGTCACTGAACATTCTTGTGAACATTCATGTTAATTCTCCACCATCTACCAAGATGTGTTTAGGACATTGTACATGTGGAAGCTAAGCTCAGCACAAGGTTACAGAGCCACTAGACAGGGACGGTTTTGATCTCACATCTACAGGATAGAAATGTCATTTTTATTCCATAATGATACCTATCCATAGTGAAATTGCTACTACTGTGTGATGATTTGATCACCATTGGCTACTCCATTGGAAGCTGTGGGCTCCCCTGCCTGCTACCAGGCGTATGGAAAATTAAATTGTGGACATCCCTGATGTCTCTGGTCACCTGCCTGCCCATGAAGTGTAGTGATGGCCTCTTCTGCTGATGTTGCTGCTCTCTGATATGTCATTGTAGTGGACATGGCCTGACATCTGTGCAGGGTCCTGTCTACTACATCACTCACCTGTGCAGGCTGTGTCCACAGATGTGACTAATAATTGTTGATCCTGCTGACACCACACTTCTGCCTGCTTTCAGAGGAAACTATGTGGATCATGAGAAAAATAAGATGGAGGTAAAGGGCCGGGAATGGAAGCGCCACGAGTTCCACTATGACAACATCATCTGGGCTCTGCTGACCCTCTTCACTGTCTCTACGGGGGAAGGATGGCCTCAGTGAGTGATGGTTGAGTCGAGTGGGGCAGAACCATGTAGTTGTCTCTAGCTGGGCAAGGCTGACCCTCAGTTAGCATCCCAGGAAACAAGTAGCTATGGGAGAGTGAGACAGTCTGAAGGGAGAAGAACAAAAAAATGCTTCTAGCAGAATTGGGAAAGGACTGACAAAGTTGGAGATGGATTTACAGCTCTTGTGTTTTGGCAGTTACTGAGGGCTTGAATGGAGCTGTCCTGTTCCTGGAGAGAAGATAGGTTTCCAGTAGTTCACCACTAGGAGAGCCCCAAGGGCTTCAAGGGTTTGCAGGTTCATCTCGAGGCGTGATGTAAGGGTCATCTGTAGAAATGCTTAGGAGTTGGGGAAGAGTCGTGTGCCAGGGACTCCCTGTCAAGCTGGATGTGGATCTAGGAGAGCAGCAGTTAGGACCACGTGAGGACCCAACCCCAGGGTACATCTGCTGCAGGAGCCCAGGCCAGCAGCCAGCCTTGCCCTGCTCTGTCCCTCAGGGTTCTACAGCATTCTGTGGATGTGACTGAGGAAGACCGAGGCCCAAGCCGCAGCAACCGCATGGAGATGTCCATTTTCTACGTGGTGTACTTCGTAGTCTTCCCATTCTTTTTTGTTAACATCTTTGTGGCTCTCATCATCATCACATTCCAGGAGCAAGGGGACAAGATGATGGAGGAGTGCAGCTTGGAAAAGAATGAGGTGCCTGTGCAGACTGGGTGGGTGGGGTGGGGGCCAGAGGGGGCAGAACCATGGAGAAAAGACAAAGAAGTCTGTTTCAGGCCCTGAGCACTTGTCTCTTGGGTGGACTGGTGTGAGGTACAGACAACTGGCTGGGAGGCAGTGGAAGGACAAGTGCACCCCCATAGTAATGTGAAGAGGGGGTCCTGTGCGGCATGTGCGGGATGTCCGGGAGTGAGTCATAGAGCTGCTTCTCTGGCAGCCAGCACAATTCTGGCCTCTGGTGGGGTCTCTGTGATATGGAGCTGAGCTAGGAACTGCTGAGAGCTGCAAGGAAGATAGCAGAATGCCATGCAGGTCTCCAGGCAGGCAGACTGGACTTCCAGGCCAGGGAAGGCTTCCACTCCAAATGTCAGCCTTTGCTGGGTGGAGCAGCTTCCTCAGTGCTATGAAGTCTCACTCCAGGGGTAGCTCCTGTGGCCACTTCAGCTCTTGCCTGTGCAGCCCTGCCCTTTGACACACCAGTCCCTTCCAGCCACTCCCAGAGAACCCACTGTAGACTAACCCCGCAACTTGCCTACAGAGAGCATGCATCGACTTTGCAATCAGCGCCAAGCCTCTCACCCGCTACATGCCACAGAACAGGCACACCTTCCAGTACCGTGTGTGGCACTTTGTGGTGTCCCCATCCTTTGAGTATACCATCATGGCAATGATCGCCTTGAACACTGTCGTGCTGATGATGAAGGTGAGCCATGACCCTGGCCTCTGCACACATACTGCCCACCCTATCCCACTTCTCCGAATGCCTCAGTGGGTGGTCTGCTGCCTCTCACTGCTTTTGCCTCATGACATCTTTGTACTTTGATCTTGTTTGGTTATCCAGACTCTGGGAACTGTGGTTCACTGGGTGCACAGGGTGTGGAAGAGTGGAGGTGGTGGGATCTACTTCCAACAATGGAGAATGCCAGCTGAAGCCTGAGTGCAGAAGAGCTCCCTCCCAAGGAAGTGCCTCTACCTTGCCCCCACCCCAGACTGTTCTGCCAGGGTCTAGGCAGTCTGGGTGTGTTTTCTTGTTTAGCTGTCTCTTCCCACACCTGGTAACAACATGGCCTGCAGGCAGGCTGGGGTGGTCCACCTGCAGCCCCTGTGGCTCTAACTTGCTCTCTTCTCTCCCTGGCAGTACTACTCTGCCCCCTGCACCTATGAGCTAGCCCTCAAGTACCTGAACATCGCCTTCACCATGGTGTTCTCCCTGGAGTGCATTCTGAAGGTCATTGCTTTTGGCTTCTTGGTAAGTGGCTGAGCCTCTCCCTTGTCTGGAATGGGTCATGCTACTCTGGAAGTGGCCCCAGCTCTGACTGCAGCTCATGCTGCTGCTCAGTGGACAGCCACTGAGATGACACGGGCTGGGCCACATCCCCTGGCTTCCCACTGGTACATCCACCAGTCCCTTCTGCTGGATTCTGTGAGTAGTTGGGGGTTGGCATGGATACTGCTGGACATGCAGTTTACTTCAGAATCCTGGACAAAGAAGGAAAGAGCCAGTGTTTGGGTGCTAATTACTGGCAAAGGGGTCACAAAGAGCGAATTCTGATAGTGAAAATGGTTCATTCTGCCTGTGTGCATAAGGACCATGACCTTTGAGGGTATATGGCAGGGAGATCCTTCAGTTAGGTTGTGGGGGATGGGGGCTAGATATAAGTCTGGTGTGAACCCTCCTCTCACCTCTCAGCTGTTCATCAAACTCGTTTGGCTGATGCTTTTTCTGATGTTCCAAGTGTCAGGAAAACCCAGACCCTTCACCTATCCCTCTGAGGCCTTCCACTTGGCAGAGTGTGTGAGCCCATCTGACACTGCTCCACTCTGCCCAGGGGCAGGGCTGCCCTCAGATCCAGAGCATGGAAGCTTTTGCTGCTCTTGTGAAACAGCTCTATCTGGGTTTAGCCGGAACAGGGACTCAGGCAGGTTTGATTCCTATGAACAACGGCTGTGAGGGTTGCTACTCACTGCATAGCTGGGATGTGAAGCTGAAGGAATTCCCCAAATGTGGCCATGTTCTGTTCCTGGCTCCATTTTGGGTGTGTGGAGACTTGTGGAAACAAATGAGCAAAGAAACTGAGCAGTTTGCCTTCAGTGAAATCTGGCTGAGGTCGACATTTCTGATGTCTGTGACACATGGCCTCTGCCTTGGCTGTGCATAGCTTACTTGGGCTGAACACGGCTTGCCTGAAGCATTCTGCTCCCACCCTACAAGTCCCCATTCGAGGTCTAGAGGCAGCTTTAGTCCTGGTGAATCTGCCTTTGTGTGAGTTACTTCAGAAAGCTGCTGGTACAATGGACCTATTTATTTTGGTGCAATTAAAGCCTTAGAACCTGTGTGTAGTTTCTTGGTGGTACACATTTCTCATGAGGTATTATAGGAATGCACTAAGTTTGCAGGATGCACAATTCCACTGGCTCTTCTCCATGACTATGAAGCAGACATGGTGTTATGCCATCAGTATTACTGTTGTAAAGGAAGAAACTGAACAGAAAAGTTGTGTAGCTTTGTGAAAGTCACATGGTGAAAGGAGTGGGAGTGGAGAACAGGTGGGAATGAGAGGGTATGGTAGGAGGGAAGGAAGTCACACACCCGAGCAGTGAGTCTTCAATGCCCGCATTGTCTACATGACAAGTATATTTAAATAGGCATCACTGTATTCTCATATGGGTAAATCAGAGATGAGAAAATTTGAGTAGCTTGCACCAAGCACAAAGCAGAGTCAGAATTCTAATCCTGACATCTTTTGACTTCACAGAACACAGTAACTGGATTTATGTGATAATGCACCACATGTGAGGGCCACATGAACTGGTGGTGTCTGAGACAATGGACAGTGCTGACACTATTATGTTTGGTCTGTGCAACATGAGGGTTGGTGTTTTCTTGTTGTGTAAGCACACTGGAGTGCACTCACATGGACTAATATGGCCATAGAATTTTATGGGACTGCATGGAGGGTCTGTTGCCAACTGTAACACCATGTGGAGCGTGTGACTGATGTGAGGCCTGTGGCTGACTGGTACACCGTGTGGAATGTGATCAATGTGAGGCCCATGGCTGACTTGAACACTGTGTGAAGCATGTGAGTGAGCATGTCACTTGTCACTGAGTGGTATACTGTATGGTGCATGTGACTGAGTATGTGGCTTATCCTGACTGGAACAACATATGTTATACAGGACTATACCATGCTTTTCTAGCAAGTGCAAAATTTTGTCTTTCTGTTTAAAGGAGTCACATCTGGGTTTCTCTGGCGCCCGAGTTGCCAGCGAGGCTACTCTTGCACTTGGGGGCCATAGCCAAGTAGTATGAGGGTCACATGGACTCCAGCAATGTGATTCCATGGCAGCTGGTCTGCTTACATAGTGACTGCACACATAGATAGCAAACACAGTATTAATCCCCTGGCTGGGGGATTAATACTATCTGGGGGCTGGGTAAGGGCAAAGGAAGAGTCATGATGCTGCTTAGATGGTGAAATCTACATGAGTTGTGTATGTCTGCAATTTTCTGTGTAGTACTTCTCAACTGCTACTGAACATGGATAACTGAAGCTGTGGAAGGTGGAACTAAGAGTGACGGTGGCTCCTCCAGTACACTACTTCCCATCCCCCAGGCTCAGTTCATGGAAATCTGGACTTAAGAGCCAAGAATTGGCACCTTCACTCCAGGTTAAGAAGGAGAAATTGAGTCTCGCTATGGTTGTTTCAGGGAGGGAATGATTTCCCTGACAGAGGGCAAAGGTGGGAAGCCGTGTGCCACAATTTCACCATATGCCCATGCATCACATGGCTTTATGATTAGACCACATGACCCCCATCTTCTCATCACAGCAATGAGGGAAGCAGTGCTGCCTCACTGTCAAAACCTTATCGTGTATCCAGTTGGGTTGTGTGTATCAGGTGCCTTACCCCTGGGGATACTTGCTCGCAGGTCTGCCCCAGGTTCTTGTCCTGTGCTGGCTCTGCGATATCTGTCCCTACTGCTGTTCATATCCTTAGTACTTTAGAAACATGGGTGAGTCACAACCTCATTTTGGACCCATGAGTGAGAAAACTGAGCAGAAGCTAAGTCTAGCATCATGTCCATACTTCATGGTAACCGTGAGAGGCTGGGTGAGGCCACCTCCATCCAGCTCTGAGAGGGACGGTATATGAATTCCTAGAAACCAGGTGTCATGAGTCTCATTGTTATTTTGTTTTGTTGTTCAATTATGTAAGAGGTAGAAAGGGTCAGAGTTACTGCTAGCAAATATGTTAGCAGAATACTCGCAACAGCAAGAGCTGGGCAGGCTGAAGCCAGGAGTGCAGAGCTCAACGCAGGTCTCCTAACTCTGAACACCTTCAGCTTCTGCCTAGGTGCAAAGTACCAAGGGTCTGTAGCCACGTGCCCCAGAATGGGGAAAGGGGGGTAGTTCAAGCAGCATCTGCCACAGCAGACACTGCCTCTTGGGGAAACTTAAAGAGCATAGTCTGAAGTCTCTGTCCACTGAGCCCAGGAGGCCACCCTGGGCTCTCCACTCTCCTCTCCTCGCATGGGGAGTGTGATCCAGCTGGTGGACTCCCCATCCTATCTGTGAGTCACTTTGGTCCTACTTCCATGTACTTGACTGTGTCACCTCATGGCAGGTGGAGCCTGTTCTTCCCATTGTTGTCAGGAGCCAAAAGCTGGTGTGAGGATTTCTTCCCATTGTTGTCAGGAGCCAAAAGCTGGTGTGAGGAGGGCCATTGGACTTGAGGGAGGTTCATGACGCATCCATATAGGCTGTAGTGACTTTCATTGATGATTCAATTGAGAACTGTGTGTTTATAGGGCTACTTGGCACAATGTAGGTCACATGGAAGTTGTGTGATGGTGGGAGTAGCCTGTGGGCATAGACTTTCTCCAGACACACCGAGATGTAGACATGAAGTGTGTGGGTGATGATGGGAATGGCCTGTGGGCACAGACTCTGCCCAGACACACCAAGATTTAGACTTGGAAGTGCCGACTGTGTTATGTGACCCTCAGGCTTCAATGAAGTGGCCTCAGCATGAATAAACAATTTTCAAAGGATAAAATAGCTCTTCTTACATGGGGAGATTTTCCAACACAAGGTCTGTCAGCTGTAGGAAGTGCAAACTTCCAGATTAATGGCAGACAATGGCATTCTGAACAGAAAGAATTGGAGTGAGCAGAGGAAGTGAAGTGATGCTAGAAGGTACGTGGATTAACATGTTCCAAGTCCATGTGACAGTCACGTGATGAAGAATGTTCTCCCTCTCTCTCCTGGTGTGCTGTGTTTGGACCCACCTGGCAGAACTATTTCCGTGACACCTGGAACATCTTCGACTTCATCACTGTCATTGGCAGCATCACTGAGATCATCCTGGCTGACAGCAAGGTGAGGGGCTTCAGGACCCTGACTCGGGGCTTGGCCCTGCATGCTTGGCCTCTGCACCCCTGAGCTTGGGAGCACTGTTGGCCATGTCCACCTCAGCCAGGAGACCCTGGATGCCATGGCTAGAGCTGTGGGCAGGTGCAGCAAGGGCACAGCCATCCCCATAGGTTCTGTCAAATCTGATTTCAGCTCTGAGGGCACAGTGCCACAGCCCTTACGGCTGTCTGCAGGATTATCTCCCCGTTACCTCTCTTGGACTGCTGAGTGTCACTATGTGCAGCAGCAGTGCTGGATCTGCTTTTGGGTGCAGACATCAGACACTTGGTAGGAGGCTGAGGGATTGTTTTGGGCCAAGCACACAGGTCCTTGCTCTGGAGGAGTCAAGGAGGGCTCGGGAGGCAGTCATGGGTTCAGCCGAGACGGTACCTTTAGGAAGCTGAGAGGAATTCAGCAGACAGCCTGGAGTCAGCCTCCCTCAGAGCCTGCTTGCTGATCCAGGGCTTAGAGCATCCCTAGTGGAGCCTTGTGTCACCACTGTCTCCTTTCTACCTTAGCTGGTGAACACCACAGGCTTCAACATGAGCTTCCTGAAGCTCTTCCGGGCTGCCCGCCTCATCAAGCTGCTGCGCCAGGGCTACACCATTCGCATCCTGCTGTGGACCTTTGTGCAGTCCTTCAAGGTGAGAGCTGCAGCTTTGGCATTCCCATTGTGCTTGGATGGCGCACCAATGCCTGCCAGGTGCAGCCTTTCTCTGGCCCAACCAGCTGTGAAGCAGCTGCTCTCACTGTCCTTGCCTTGTGCATAGGACAGAGCTGTGGCCAAGTGATTCACATACTGTCCTTCCTGTGGCATGTATGCAGATGGAGGCATCCAGCCTGCCTTCCTGAGGACAGCGCCCTGAGAGATGTGTCCTGACAGGTTGTCACTGGTGCCAGGCCTGATAGAGCCAGGTGGTCTTGCAGGCAGGGAAGGGCATCACACGTGGCTCCCACAGGGCTGCAGGTTGATACTCTTTTTTTTTTTTTCCTTCTTCCATAGCTGTGTAGGGCACAGCCCAGAAGGGGACTTCTTCCTAGGAGGCCTTGAGGAGTGAGGGCCAGAATGCAGATGGCACAGCCTCTGGCAAGACCCCCACCTAGCCCTGACCTTCAACCATGTCTCCACTCTGGGCCTCTCAGGGAAATTCTCCCTCCTGTCCTGTGTTTTGTGTTCAGAGAGAGCACGTTGGACCCTCACTTTTCTCCCTGGAGTGAGGAGAGATGAGTTTGGATTAGAGCCTTTGGAAATCAGAAGGAAGAATAAGCTGACAGAGTAGGGAGTAGTCTGTCTGCTACCCAGACACCCACATCTATGCTCACCCTTCCCCAGGGCCCTCTCTCTTCTCAGGGTTTGGAATCAGCATGTCTCCAGGTGAGGTTGGTCCTCTGCAGCTCTCAGTGGTGCAAGTTGTCCACAGCCCCTGGGGCAGGGTCTTCCTTCAGTGGCTTTGGTGCTGAGCTCTGCCCCACGCCTGTGCCTGGACTCCTGTGCTGTGCACACACACAGTGGTGGGACCTCACAGTACGGCTTGCTGGGGGCCAAGATGGGCTTGCCAGCCAGCACCAAGAGAGCCCAGTCACAAACCCATCATGGCAGCTTCTATCTTCCATATTCCCTTGCCACACCTACACTGAAATGTCCCCACCCCAAAGGAACAGTGAGGATGCAAGCAAGAATACGGCTCATGGCCTCAGACAGGGCTCCCTGGCAGATACTGGGCAGGCCTGGGGGCATCTGCCTGCATGACTTGAGCAGGCTCTGTCTCCAAGGAAGAGGTGTTAGCAGAAGATGGGAGCCTCCCAGGACTGAGGACAAGTTCCCAGGCTGTGCCTGTGGGCTCCCCATAGTTGGGGAACAGTAACGGGTGATGCAGGGTCCGGGAGCCAGGCCAGGTGCTGCTATATTCATTGCTGTCCACATCATGCCCTCCAGGCTCCGGATGAGTCCACCCTAGAAGGTCCTCCCAGATCTCTGTGGAGACTGGGCTGCCCTTCTGTGCATGGGCCTCAGCGTGGGTCATGGCCCACATGAGTATGAGACTAGGATGTGTGTGAGGTGTTGTCGCCACCGGGAGAGTTTCATGCTCTGTCTGCTGGCCTCGGGCAGGGCTCCATGTGGTCAGCATGCGTGAGCTACTGAGCCCACCCCTGATGCTGTCACTCTGCTCCTTCTCAGGCTCTGCCTTATGTCTGCCTGCTGATCGCCATGCTTTTCTTCATTTACGCCATCATCGGGATGCAGGTGAGCTGATATCTGCTGCTCAAGCTGTGTCGCTGCCAGGGTTTAGGGGTGAAGGCACATCGGCTTTCTGCTGGCCACTCAGGGCATGGGTGCCTGCTAGACCTGCCCAGGCATGCAGCCCAGAGCCAGTCTGTGTCCATATGCCTGGACCACACGGCTGACAGGCAGGTGGTGCAGAATAGTCTATAGCAGATGGCATGGCTTAGTCTTAGCACAGGGTTACCCCTGGGGAGGCAGTGGTGTCCATTTCTCAAGGCCACTGCTGGCTGTATGTGGCCTCACAGAGGATTGAGTGACTGTCCCTCCTGTGTGGGATGACGCCCAATGGGTTTGGGTTATGTTCAGATGGGCTGTGGGCCCTGCTGTGAACACCTCATAGGCCCAGGCCACTGCCCCCACCCCAGGAAGGCTCAAGAGCCTCACTTATGCTGGCACGACACGAGTTTCCAGGTCACCACCCTGTACATCTATACAGTCACCTGAAGGCCTGAGTAAACAGCCTGTCACAGCTTGTGAAGGCCCATGACTGACTGGCAGACTACCTGCTCTTCTCACATGTGATAGAGCTCATGGAGCATGGGTTACTCTGCCCCCACAGTCAGACAGGCTGGCAGCCATGGCACTCCTGATTGCCCTTCCAAGGGGTCAGCTTGGCCCCTGCATCTCTGAAAGCCTCCTCTCCCTGCTCCTTTCTCGCCTCAAGTTCTTATTCTCATTATTTCTTTGTGTGACCCCATTTACGAGAGGATTTTATTCTCCAAAAACACTACACAGGAGAGGGAGACATGGCTGAGCAGTGGTGTATGCTCCTTCCCGGAGATGTTCTGGTAGGTTCTGGTGATGCCTGCAGCATAGGTCACAGAATTGCTGCTGGTGACTTCCGACCAATAAAATGTCTCAAAGGCCTGGTCAGTGAGGTTCTTTTTTCCTTTGGAATAAACTAGAACAGCACAATCTGCAGTTCCAGCCACTATGCACATGGTAATGTATCGCTGTGCTGGGGTGCCTCAGTGCAGACACTGTGACACATGTGCACATGTGTATGGCTGTGTAGGTGGAAGGATCGAGGCTGGGCAAGGTCAGAGCAGAGATGGTCAGCAGCCACATCAAACTTGCTTGGTCAGTCTTGTCCCTAAGGGGCAGGTGAGATGTAGCCACTTGCACAGTTCTCTATTTTCAGCAAGTGGAGGACTTACTGTCTGCACTGCGCTGCTCAGCCAAGTCCCTGACATGGTGTCTCACAGGCAGCCCGACACAGACCCACATCCGTCCTGACCCTTCCGTGCGAGGCCAGGCATTCGTTTTCCCTTCACTTCCTCCTGAATAAGGCCAGCGTTCTATCCTGCAGATATAGGACCTGTGGTCAGCCAACTGTGCCCAACCTGCTGCTAACCACATTGCTCTTAGGCACAGAGATGGGAGAGCAGGGCAAAACTTTGGCTCAAATACCCATGAATGGTTCCTTGGAGCTTCTGCAGGCTCTTGGAGATGTTAGCAAAGGTGTGAAAGGACCATGGCTCATGGTCTCGGGGGCATCCCACCTGGCCCAACCATGGACAAGATGTGCAGCACTCCAGCCACCCAGTCTCTCTGAGCTCAGCTCCTCATCCAGCATGGACTGTTTGCAGGCAGGTGCTGTTCTCCAGCCAGCCAGACTTTGGCTTTGTCCCTGATGGCCTCTCTGTCTTTGGCACAGTGTAGGCCTGAGATCACAGGGAAGGCAAAATTCCATGAAAGCCCCCTTCCCAAAATGGGAACATTTCCTTAAAAAAGACTCTAACTTTTGCCCTGGGCTCTGGATATTGTACATGACCTGTGGCTAGTTCATGATGGAGGGGAGGATGCGTTAGCAAATCCCAAAAGATGATGAATGGTGGGGATTCCCCCCTGTCCTAGAGGAGAAACTCTGTGAGTGCAGTATCAGGGCAGATGTGCTTACAGGATGAGGTGTCTGAGGTACCATGTGCCACTCCCTCAGTGGCATCACTTGGGGCATCTGCTTGTCTGTCCCCTCTGTCCAGTCCTCTTCCCTTTGAATATCCATGTTTCCCAACTTGGAGCATCCTGTTGGCCTGGACTCTGTTTGACCTAATACATAAGTCATTTGGATGTGAAATATCAGTCTTTCAAAGGGTGTACAAGTGTTTCAAATGGTTCATAGAGAATGGAGTTCCAACATAATGTTCACTTAAAAATGCTTTGAACTCCCTAATGTAAGAAGTTTTTCAACAAGTCCCTGAAATATGTCTTGTATGGGCTTTTTTTTTTTCACCAAAATAAGCTGAATCTTGCTTTCCTTGGTCTCTCTGAAGTACCCCCAAGAATGTGTGTGGTTGTGACTGCCAGGTGGAGGCAGAATTGGTTATCTCAGCCTGGGTGGCTCATGGGCCATGCCTGCTCACGCTACCCATTAACCCTCTGCAGATGGGTCCTCTTGTCATCAGCTCCAAAGACAGCACAAGAAACCTTTCCCTACAGCATGCCTCAGCAGCCTGAGTAGACAGCCCTAGTCCACTCTAGTTTGCAGAGATGAGCTCTGTAGGAATGAAAGTGATTGGGTGCAGGTCCCATGCAGACACCAAGACCCAGGAGGCCCTGCAGCTGAGGTCATGATGGCTGTGTGCCTTCTGGAGTGAAGGGGATAGGTACTGTGTCCTGGTCTGGAGTTGTGCCCCCACTCCTGTGTGTGTAGCATAAGCAATCCAAGAGGTAGTCCTGCCCCCACCCTGCTTGGTGATGCACTTTCTCTCTGGTTTTCTCCCCAAGGTCTTTGGAAACATTAAGCTAGATGAAGAGAGCCACATCAACCGGCATAACAACTTCCGCAGTTTTTTTGGGTCTCTCATGCTGCTCTTCAGGTATTTGTCATGAAACAGCTGTGTGCATGGGTAGGATAGCTGTGTAACTCGTGGGACAGCAATGTGGTCGTGGGATGGCTGTGTGACTCGTGGGATGGCTGTGTGACTTGTGGGATGGCTGTGTGACTGATGGCATGGTTGTGTGACTGTACGATGGCTGAGTGACTAGTGCAGTGGCTGTGTGACTGGTGGGAAGGGTGTATGACTTGTAGGATGACTGTGTGACTGATGGCATGGTTGTATGACTCAAGGGATGGCTATGTGGCTTGTGAAATGGCTGTGTAACTCACGAGATGGTTGTGTGATTCAGGATGGCTGTGTCACTAGTGCAATGGCTGTGTAACTGTTGGGAAGGTTGTGTGGTTTGTGGGATGACTGTGATTGGTGGGATGGCTGTGACTCGTGGGATGGTTGTATGACTCATGGGGTAGCTGTGTGACTGTTGGCATGGTTGTGTGACTCATGGGATGGCTGTGTGACTAGTACAATGGCTGAGTGACTGGTGGGATGGCTGTGTGATTAGTGGGAAGGGTGTGTGACTCATGGGATGGCTGTGACTCATGGGAAGGCTTTGTGACTAATGAGATGGCTGTGACTCAAGGGATGGTCGTGTGACTAGTGGGATGGCTGTGTGACTGGTGGGATGGCTGTGTGACTGGTGCGATGGCTATGTGATTGGTGGGATGGCTGTGTGACTGGTGGGATGGCTGTGTAACTGGTAGGATGGCTGTGTGATTTGGTGGGAAGGCTGTGTGACTAATGAGATGGCTGTGACTCAAGGGATGGCCGTGTGACTGGTGGCATGGCTGTGTGACTGGTGGGATGGCTGTGTGACTGGTGCGATGGCTATGTGATTGGTGGGAAGGGTGTGTGACTGGTGGGATGGCTGTGTAACTGGCACGATGGCTATATGATTGGTGGGATGGCTATGTGATTGGTGGGATGGCTGTGTGATTGGTGGGATGGCTGTGTAACTGGTAGGATGGCTGTGTGATGTGGGAAGGCTGTGTGACTCATGGGATGGCTGTGACTCATGGGATGGCCATGTGACTGGTGGGATGGCTGTGTGATTGGTGGGATGGCTGTGTGACTGGTGCGATGGCTATGTGATTGGTGGGAAGGGTGTGTGACTGGTGGGATGGCTGTGACTCATGGGATGGCTGTGTGACTGGTGGGATGGCTGTGTGACTCATGGGATGGCTGTGTGATTGGTGGAATGGCTGAGTGACTTGGATGACTGTGCGGCTATTGTGAGTGAAAGCCATCCTGAAGGAGGCCGGCCCTGCCTTGTTCTTCTGCACATTTCTTTAGCCTAAGTCTTGTGTGGGGGACAGGAGGTGACACTTGGCCATACCATTCAGCAGCAGTGACATAAGAAACCCATGAATTCCCCTGACTCAGTGTACTGTTTGCACATTCAGCTTTAGCGTGTCCTGGGATGGGCAGCAGGTGGGCAAGCACAGGCAGTTTCCTTCAAGTTATACTTCCTCCTAGTGCTAAATAAGACCCTGGATGACAGGTTGTTCATGTCCCCTCTGCTGGCCAGAACCCAGGAGAGACACAGTTTGCTTAGCATTTGGGGAAGGGGGCTGCTCTAGGGAGGGGCAGAAAGGGTGGACAGGGACTTGCAGGCCTGCTACTGATGCTAACCCCTAGGCCTCCGGGTGCAGGAGTGCCACGGGCGAGGCCTGGCAGGAGATCATGCTGTCATGCTTGGGCGAGAAGGGCTGTGAGCCTGACACTACAGCACCTGCTGGCCAGCAGGAGAGCGAGCGCTGTGGAACTGACCTTGCCTACGTCTACTTCGTCTCCTTCATCTTCTTCTGCTCCTTTCTGGTGAGTGATGCAGTGTTCGCTGTGAATGTGGCTGCCCTAAATCAGCCATATCAGAGGCTTCCTCCAGTGTGAGCCAGAGTCTCTTCTGAGCATGTGCAGGCCATTGCTTCTGGGGTGAGCCTCATTAGGTGGGAGTGCAGTGCAGCTCTATGAGGGGATCCTGGGACCTGGCACTGGGCAACCCTGGGAACAGGCTTCCTCGAGCCATGGGCATCTCAGGAACTGGACTGAGAACACCCTTTCTTTTGAAGCTTCTGAACCACATAAGGAATGTGAGGCAAGAGCCCGAGTGAGCCACATGCCTGTATGGCTGCTCAGCTGGGCAGTGCTGGGCCTGCCTCAGGGTGCCTTCTCCAGTGCTGCCTTCAGAGAAAGCCTGCGTGGACACTGCATCCCCTATTTTCCTCCAAACACCAGCCAGAATAAGCAGGGAGGCGTACTTGTGGCCCTAAGCCTCAGCACGAGTGCCCATGGCTGTGCACAGTGGCCACAGCTAACCAGTGGCCAGTGTTGTGGCTGCAACAGTGTTGAAGATGGGATCTCTTCAGGGCAGTCCCAGGGGCTGAAACATCCCACCTGCCCAGCTCTCAGGGTACAGGTAGCTAGAGACTGCGCTGACCCCCATGGCTGCTGCATTAGCTCTAGGCAAGATGACTCTGGCCCCTATAATTTCTGTCAAACCAGGCAAGAGTGAATGGACAGAAGCTACCTCTTTGCCATACATGAAAGGCTTTATTGTGTCCTGTTTGCAAGTGTGGCACCACTGGTAGGAAATGCAAGACACCACTGATTGGAGAAAGCTTAGTTCGTGCATGTCTTCATGCTTATATTGAGCTGCAGAAAAGAGGCTAACCCTGAGCAAGACCCAGGCCTGGTCAGTGGAGGCACTGCCAACCGTGGGTGCTCACTGGAGAAGCAGGATGGATAGACTGAGGGCACAGGCTCCTGGTTTCGTCTCCTGCAGCTTCATTGAAGAGGAATATCTAATTGGGAAATCAGAAACATGGGCGCTTGGGGGGCAAGGCAGGGGGTTGCTGTGCCCTTTCCCCCGGCTGCCCTTTGCTGCCCAGCACTTGCTTGGTCCTAAGTCAGCTGCTTGGTGGTTCCTGGATGCCTGACACGCAGCAAGTCCTCTGGTCCACACGCGTAGACCCTGAGTTATGCAGACCAGAGGTGTGGGTAACAGCTGTCTCAGGAATAACAAACTGTGAACGCTGTTTCATGAGGGAATGGTTAACTTCGGGTCATCCTGACTGGACAGAGCCTGGAAGAATGCTACACACCTGCCACATGGGATGAACACTGGTCCCTGCCCAGTGGGGACCCTGGCCTCCCTGGCCTGCCTGGAACCCAGGGTCTTTGGACCTAACACTGCTATCTGCTCTCACACCCAGATGCTCAACCTGTTTGTGGCTGTCATCATGGACAACTTTGAGTACCTGACCCGGGACTCCTCCATCCTGGGGCCACACCACTTGGACGAGTTTGTGCGCGTGTGGGCCGAGTATGACCGGGCTGCATGGTACGTCAACCTCAGGTCCCCTCTGGGACTTGAAGGTTCAGGAACAGGGTGACTGGATGGGAGCTGCAAACGCTGGAGGTCTGCCACCCCATCTCCTTCCTTCCTCTGCCAGTCCCATTGCAATGCCTTGGTCTGGGACTATGCCCCATGACCCCATTCCTGCTGGAGGACTCCACTGAGTGGGGCTGACAAGGGTTTGGGCCTTGATGTCCTGGTGGTTCTGCTCCTGTCCCCCCATGAGGATGTCTGGGTAGACCTCCAAGGTTTGTCACAGCACTTGAGTGATGTCCTTTCCCTGAGGACATGAGGGACCCCTTTACAGTCTGCCCAGTGGTTCACCCTAGAGACTGTAGTCAGGGGTGTCAGCTTAGGAGTCCAGCAGCAGTGATGTGTGTGCATTGTCTGCAGCGAGGAAGGGGTGAGGCCCTGGGGTAAGGGCTCCACTGATGCTTTATCCCTAGGGGCTTGTGTAGCTCTGGAGTCTTAACTCACCAACCGATCCCTTCTGATCCCCTCAGAAAAGACCACAGAAAGTGCCGCTCCTCACAGGATGGGGGCCACCACTGCTGCTCCCCCAGGCTCCCCAACATTATCTCATGTGGAGCCTGGGACTTGAGCTGCATAGGGCCCCATGCCCCCAGGCCCTGCCCTGGCCACAACTAAGCAAGGGCCTTGCAGCCCTCCCTGTTATGGAAGGAAGGCAGAGACTCCAAGGTCCATGTGACTGCTGCTTTCACTGACTACACAGCAGCACAATGTGGAAGGGCCAACAGAGTTGTGGCTATGGCTGGCCAAGCCATTAGGGCCCAAGGACTGGCTAATCCCTAACCCAAGGGAGAAGACCCTGCCGGTTGGGACTCACCGTCCCCCAGCCCCCTCGGGTGCTCCTGACTCTAAGAACTCCAGCTCCCTGGGTGCTACTTATTGGGCTCCAGGTATCCCTCCTCCCAGTAGCTAAAACAGCCCCCTGAAGCCCGACCCAGAGGCAAGAAGGGCAGAATGTGTGAGGAACTTCTGCTGCCCATCACAGAGTGAGGGACCTTGTCCAGGAGCAGCATCTCCAAGAAGGGATTCAGGCAGAATGCTCCCCAGTCAGATTGCCTCCCCCGACTCTTGAGCCACTGAGGCACTGCGATGGGGAGACCCAGGCCAAGGAGTGGGCCATCAACCCCACAAAGGCACAGAGACCACAGGCTTGCACTTCCATGTGGATCTTGGGCTGTCACCTACAGGGAAGGCATTGGAGTTCCGACGCAAGTCCTTGATTACCTGTCACTTCTATCAGGTTTGTGTGGATCCAGGCTGAGTCTGGGGTTGGGGGAATGGAGTCAGGGTGTGTTTGTGACTCCCACGGGGCTGTTCTCTGAACACTGGTCTCACCAGGGGCTGCAGCAGCAGGGCTCCAGCCGAGCCCTTGCTCACTGCTCACCAGCCTCCCGAGAGGTTTGTGTCTTGTGGTCAGCAGAAGCTGCCCAAACGTGCGAGTCCGAGCTGCTAGCCTGTATCTGGGGAGACTCCTGGCAGCTTTAGCTGGTGATCAGAGGCTTTGCGACTTGCTGGGGCAGCCAGAGACACTGGTCTGAGCCCTCAGACCTTGGCTGGGCTCAGCTTGCCTCAAAGAAGTTTCGGGCAGTGTGTTCTGGTGAGACAGCAGCTCGGCCTCTCCCTCCTGGTTCTGCCGGGCCGTCCTGGCGGTGGTGCTGTCTCTGAGTGCCGCATTAACCCACTGTGCTTCCTTTGCAGCGGCAGGCTCCCGTATAAGGATATGTACAAATTAGTGCGGGCGATCTCGCCTCCTCTGGGCCTGGGAGAGAACTGCCCCTACAGGGTGGCCTGCAAGGTTTGCTCCTAGTCCCCGGCCACCACCCCCCTCCTGTCCTGCTCACTGCCCTGCGTACATGAGGAGACCCTCATGCCACTTTCCTTTGAGTTTAAAGAGGCCCCAACTCTCCCCGAACCAGCAGCTAAGCTAGGAAGAGTGGCCCAGGTGATGGGGCAGAAAAGGGGTGACAAGGACTTGAAGTGAAGGTGGGTTTCTCTTCCCTCACGGAGCTGGGGAAGCCCATGTTGACTGATGGGTACCGCACTGCCTCCTACAGCAGGTGCAACTAGTCTGTCCTTCTGTCCACCCTTGCTGTCCCTCCCTGTTTGGCCAGAAGTGACTGTGAGAGCTGTGGGACACCAGTGGGAGGTTGAGAGAGGAAGGAACTAGAGCAGGGGGATGGCAGTTTGAGAGGAAGATTCGGGGAGTGTAGGGCCTGGGACGACCCCTACAACCATGTGGGCCTGGGGGTTATGCCACAGTGTCGGTCATGGAACTAAGGATGCCGTTTAGGACACATGGGGCCCACTCTGGGACCTCTCTGCCTGCCAGTGGCTCTCAGAGCCTTGCTGGGGGCCGCTGCTGAGACTCTTTAAACTCACCCGGTGGAGCTGCAGCCGCATGAGGGCACTGGGGCAGCATGGCATGCCGGCTCTCCTGCCCCCGCCCTGGCCATCTTCCCCGCCCGGCATGCGTCGGCCCGGGGCCTTTGGGGAAGGAGGAGCTCTCACCCGCAGCACAGGTGGGAGCCACGGCCGACCCCGATGGACACCCTCAGTCCACCACTCCCACTGGGAGCCACTGCCTCCTGCCGTACACACCCGTGCCGGGGATACACAGCACTCCACCAAGAGCCAGGCAGGGCCTAACCACGGGAAGTGCTGTCTATCCGGTTTATACTGTTCACCCACAGCCCTAGGAAAGGGAGGGTGTGGGGGTGTCGGGGCAATGCCAGTCAAGGAGAGTGGAGTAGAGGTGAGGCCTCCACCTGTTCCCAGGTCTGTGGGGGCGTGCTATAAACCACACCAGGACGGGCCGTGTCAAACCTGCCTTGATTAACAGGTTTACTGTTCTTCTCCTGTCTGTTTTGTTTCGTTCCTCTCCTCTTGTTCTCTGTATATTCCATCCATTCTGTTTCTGCTGCCCGGGAATGCTGCATCCTCCCTACCTCCTCCCCTGCCCTGCTACCCCTGCCCGGCCTGCCACCGCCGCCTACGCAGTGGCCGCATCCATTACACTGAAATGTACGAGATGCTGACCCTCATGTCGCCACCACTAGGCCTCGGCAAGAGATGCCCCTCCAAGGTGGCGTATAAGGTAGAGCACCTCCCTTCCTTCCAGCCTCAGGATCCCCAGGACAGGGGCAGTGGTGGGCCAGGGTGGTGGAGGGGGGCAAAGAAGGAAGCAAACCAGACCCAGGCATGGGCCAGGCCCAGAGGATGAGGAGCCCAAGGCTACTGAGATGGGCTACAGAGAATGGGGGCTTCCCGTGTGGCTCTGCGCCCACAGGCATGGCCTGCGTGGGGCCCCAGAGGACAGATGAGGGCCATAGGGTATTTGAGGGAGAAGGAAGTGTCAGAGTTTGTAAAATTGACTTGGAATCAGCTTGGCTGGGCAGTAACGTGCCAGTCCTCTGAATGTGGCTCTGAGAGGTATGAATGGACACAGGAAATACAGGGCTCACCCTAACCCCAGGAATGGGGGCAGTTCTAGCCCAAGGAACCAGGGAGTGCAGTCCCTACTGCCTCCACAGCCCGTGGCCCCAGCATCCCCAGTGGCCCCCTCAGCCCAGCGGCCCCAGTGGCACCCCAAGCCCAGAGGCCCTCAAGGCCAAGTTAGCCCCCGTGGCCCAGCGGCCCCAGCAGCCCTCATGGCCCAGAGGTCCTCAAGGCCCAGTAGTCCCAGCAGTCCCAGCGGCCCTCATGGCGCAATGGCCCCCCGTGGGCCAGCAGCCCTCACTCTCTAAAGCTCTGAGAGCACTCCCAGGTGCGGTGCACATGCAGGCCTGGCCTGAGCAGTCATCATGGTCCTGGGGAACCACCTGTCCTCAGGTGTGCTCAGCTGTGGGCAGGAGGTTCTGTCCAGCTAATCCACGGCCCCTTTGCTGTGGAACCAGACTTGGAAACTAGGCCACCCAGTGCCAGGAGCCTGTTGTGGGGACCTGCTGGGCTGGTGGTTCCCCAAGGACTTGGCATGCAGCTCTGTGTGGACTGGCCTCCCTTCATCCACAATGGCCACATCCACAGGACCCAGGGCTGGGTGTGGCCCTGAATTCTTCACATCTGGAGGAAGTTGCATGGTTGGGGGTGGGGGAGGTGGACTGGAGCAAACTGCTTTCTGGGATGTGGACTTGGCCATTCCAGTGATTTCCCCATGGATGAGGGGACAGGGCGCGCCCACCTGCTGCTCCTCCTTTCATCCCGTCCTGAGCCTGCGTGCCTCCCTCCTGCCCGTCCCACTCCGCCTCATCCTGGACCATGCATGCTCAGTTTGGGCTGGCAAATCCTACATCTCAGAAACTCAAAAAGGGTGCACCAGGATGCATCTGTCCAGATGAGCAGAGCCAGCCAGGGCAGGGGATGGAGCCACCTCCTGGAGCTGACTCCCTCCCCTGAAAAATTGCTCCCTGGCCAGTGGAGAACCCCTTCCTGGGGTCTGAGTGAGGTGCAGGGAATATGAATGGGATCCTTACCCTCCTTTTGTCTGTGTTGGGCCTTGGTGCCTCCCTCCTCCCCAAGGTGTCTTTCCATCTGTTTTTGTTTTTCCGGCTCTTTCTTTTTCTCTTCCACGCAGAGGCTGGTGCTCATGAACATGCCCGTGGCTGAGGACATGACAGTCCACTTCACATCTACCCTCATGGCTCTGATCCGCACAGCACTAGACATCAAAATCGCCAAGGGTGAGCAGGGCCCTGCTGACTCACAGCCATTTCTGCAGGGTGTGGGGGACAAGGCGTGCACCACTGACCATTGCTGCCAGGGGCTCAGCAGTGCCACGGCCTAGGTGGTGGGTTCCTGACCCTGGCAAGCTGCCATCATGTCACCATGCCTCCTGTCCTCATGTTGCCTTGCCCCCAACATGTCTGGCATTTTCTGGGTGGTGCTATCTCTTTGGGAGTCTGGGGGGAGGATGGGCCTGCAGCACTCACACCCAAACCCTGGCCTAACCACAGGACAGCTGTGCGGGCACTGAGCCCTGCCCGTGGAGTTTCTCCTGGTGGGTGGAGCCTGAGCAGCACTAGAGGTCCATGAGGAAGCCACTCCTGACCTCCAGGGTCACCAGAGTTGCTGTGCTGGGCTTCCTTGGCAGACAGACCCCGGTAGCATGTCCGTCAGCCCCATGACTGGGGTTCTCCCCATGGGGTACAGGGCCCCTGCCCTGCTGACTCCCTGGCACTTGTTCCTGCAGGGGGCGCAGACAGGCAGCAACTGGACTCGGAGCTGCAGAAGGAGATCCTGGCCATCTGGCCCCACCTGTCTCAAAAAATGCTGGACCTGCTGGTGCCCATGCCCAAAGGTGAGGGCTGCTCAGGGGCCTGGGCATGGAGTGCAGTGTTCCAGGGAGAACCAGGGTTTCGGGAAGTGTTTTCTTAGTCTGTGATGCTGTGGTAGGGATCCTCTGGGGGCCAAACACCCCCTGTGCCATACTGTGCAGCAAACTTCACAGTGTGGGCAAGGGTAGCCTTGTCTGTGGGGACAAGGAGGAGGTAGCATGCAGCAAAGTGTTGGTGTCCCGGACTGAAAGCCCCAGGGACAGATATAGATGGCCTGTGCCATGTCCTCAGGTCTGGGCACACAGGAGACCTCTGCACATGCTGGCAGGGCTGGCCTCACCTTGGAGTCAGTGACAGCCATGCCTGCCATCATGCCTCACCCTCTGTGCCACATCTGCTTCCAGCCTCAGACCTGACTGTGGGCAAGATCTATGCAGCAATGATGATCATGGACTACTACAAGCAGAGCAAGGTGAAGAAGCAGAGGCGGCAGCTGGAGGAGCAGGTGAGCCGGTGCTGCACAAAGGACATGGCTGCTGGTTGGGGTGAGGCCATCACTTGTGCGCGCTGTGTTCTCCTGCCATCAGCTTCCTTTGTTCCCATTCCACGCAGAAAAATGCACCCATGTTCCAGCGCATGGAGCCTTCCTCTCTACCCCAGGAGATCATCGCCAATGCCAAGGCCCTGCCCTACCTCCCGCCAGGTCCCCCTGCAGGCCTGTGAGTAGACTGGGGTGCTCCCTATGTGCTGGGCGATGCCTTTCCCAAGACTGCAGCAGATGAGGTGTCCACACAGTGGCCTGCTCAAGAGCAAGAGGTAGAGGGCTTCTTGCTGTCCAGTGCTCTGAGTCCAGGAAACCCTAGTCACGGACTCCACATGGGTGGCCCGCCTCACCGGCATACTCTTGGCCACACTGGGCAAGGCACACTCCTGTGCCCGGTCTGAGGCCGTGGGGGCACAGCCTTGCTGGGCCTCTGACACAGGGCACACCTATGTGACAGTGAGAAGTGATCCTAGGTTTAATCTTTAGAAGGAATCAACTTGGCTCAAGTACAAGTATTGACTTGGGTACAGGATCAGCTGATCACAGTCACAGGAAGTGACGAAGTAGACGCAGTGAACCGTGCAGGTACAGGAGGTAATCCCCTCAGAGGCGGGGGCCTCTCTTGGAGGGGACAGCCCACACAAGGAGGGAGGACACTTAGAGCAGACATGGGGATGAGAGACATGGGGAGGGAGGACACTGAGCTGTCTGGAAAGGAGTCATTGTTGGCAGACAGAGAGGAGGAAAGCTGTGGCAAACTGCGGATGGAGGAGGATGTCTGCTGACCAGGTAGGGTTCACTTTGGGCAGGGGAAGGGAACAAGCTTTTGTTTGGGAAATCGCAAAGACTGTGTTCAGACCTCGGCATAACCATATGGTCTAGGTCAGAGGGAGGTGCAGTGAGCTGTGGCAGGTGGCCATGAGGGAAATGTCACATTTATTGGCAGAGGGACAGGTTGTGATGCTGCTGGGAGAGCCATGGAAGGAAACAGTATGGTGGGTGGGTGTGGGTACAGTCTAAGAACTCCAGTTTTTAAGGAAGGGACCTTGTCCCTCTGGAAGTCCAGTCTAAAACTCATCACCCTGTGGCAGTGTGGACAAGTATCCTGTAATGCAGACCACCAGGAAGGGTCTGAGTGGTGGACCAGGCTGCCCTCCATCTGCTGGTTCCTCCTCCATTCCCCCATGTAGCAACAGCCTCATCTAGGCTGGTCTAAAGCCCGGTGCCCTTCTGGGTCTCCCCCTGTGGGTACAGAGTCCCTAGTAGCTGGGCCATTTTCTGCTGCTTTCCTAGACCCTTAGCAGGGAGCTACATTATAAATGGAGCAACCAGGACTCGAACCAGGAGCACAGGCAGAAGTGTAGCATGCTACACCATTCCACCAGGCCCCAGGAAGCCTCTGAAAGCTGGAGCAGGAGCTACACAGCCCAAAACCCTCAAGCCCATCTCTCTCCAGTGGAGTCCTGGCAGGGTCTCACCCAGTTCTTTGTGGCAGTGGAAGCCAGTGCCAGCCTTCATGGCAGCTAGGCCAGACAGATGACCTCTGCCGGCTGTATGTGTCCACTTGGGGCATCTGTGGGCTGATTGTGAAGAAGGAGAGATGCCTCACAGTCTGTTCATGACTGGGTGCAGGAGACCCACAATGCCCCCACCCCACCCCTGAGCTGCTGCCAGCCGCTGGCCTCAGTGCACACCCCAAACCCAGGAGCCTCACACAGCATTCTGGAGCAGGCTCAGGGGAAAAGCCACAGGCTAGCCAGTCCTCCCCTGGTACCCTGACTAGGGCCCCTTGAATGGGAGTGTTGCAGGTGCCACAGCCTGGGTCTGATGCCTGCTTTGCTCAGGGTCAGGGCAGTTCTCCTGCAAGCAACCCCAAAGCTGGGCAAGGCTGAGCTGCCTACCTGGTTGGGCATGCCGCCCCTGAGCCCACACCTTCCTGTGGTGGGACTGAGGCTGCCTGGTAGGGGATAAGTGGCCTGCCCCCAGCCTAGGTGCTAGCCTCCCTGGGGCCCAGGTGATAGCGTGCCTTGCTGGGAGCTGCTAAGAGGGATGGGAACAGGACCCTGGCCCTCAGCCCTGCTCTGACTTACTTTCAGGGGTGGCCGGAGTAGATGTCCTGCGATGAGTCCACTGTCCCCACAGGAGATCTTCCAGTTGACATGCATGGACCCGCCAGAGGATGAAGGGCAGTTCCAGGAACAGCGCTCTCTGGTGAATAACCTATAACTCCTCAGCCCTCCCTGTTCTTCTCTTACCCATGGCCAGTCAGGACAGTACCGTCCTGTCCCAGTCAGTGCCCCTGCCTCAGGCTGGGTGGTTCCAGCCTCTCCCTGCATCAGGTCACAACCTCCAGGTATGGACCCTGAATGCAGGAGCAGAGTCCAACAAAGGCCTCCCCTGGGAGGGAGGTGCCGGGTAAACCCCCAGAGGATCCAGCGCCAACCTTGGTGCTTTCGGCCACCTCAATCCAAGCTCAAAGCAAGGGTAACGGAGTGCTGGCTGCTAGGAAGCTTGGGTGACCTAGCAGGATGCCAGGTCATCACTCTAAGCCTGCCACCCAAGTGGTGGCGTTTCTGAGAGCTAGGGGGGGAAAGCAGTGGGGCTTGGCCTGACTCGCAGAAAGCAGAAACATGATCCCTGAAGCGGCCACACTGGCCGCTGCCTGGTACATACAAGCCTATACCCTGAGTGGCAGCGATGCAGGTCGAGGTAGCAGGCTTTGGGATTCAACTTGGCTTTCCTAGCTTGGCTGTTTCTGTCTCCAGGAGGGTCTAGGGTAACTGGGGAGCCCAGGACTTGCCATCCAATTCCAAGGCACAGGAGGACAGGGCACTTGCCAAGCAGACCCCTACTCCCTAAGAGCCCCAGCAGACCTGTTGGGTGGGAACCCTCCAAGACACAGAGCAGGTTATGTGGGTGTGTGTCCGTCGTGTCAGTCCGTGTGTCCGTGGCTCCCTGCAGGTGTCGGTGGCCACACACTGCCCATCCCGTGGGTGGGGACCTGTGTGTGCATGTAGAGTGTGTGTTTCACGCACGACAACACTGTCACTATGTCTGCTGGAGCCAGTGCCCCCAGGCACCCCTACATGCCCCACTGCACACCTGCTCTTGGACACCAGATTCTCATGCAGGGACACTGGCCATGTGTGGCATACAGAGTGAGCCTGTTCACGGCCATCTCATGACCTGAGTCTGACAAGAGGTTGGCAGAATGTCTGCACACACTGGGCCACACCGTGTCTGTCTTCACTTCTGTGTGCCCACCTGGAGTTGCAAGAGGGGCCTGGGCCTCCCCTCTTCTAGTGGCTGTGAGAGAGAGGCCCATCCTGGACAGATGTCCTGCTGAGAGCCTGAGGGTCAGAGGTGTCCTCAGGGGCAAGAGAAGGGAGTTGGCATATTCCACGAGCGTGGCTGTGTGTTTGTTTCCAGGAGCCAGAGGTTAGTGAATTAGAAAGCGTGCGGTCCGCTAACCATGGCACCCAGCTTCCTCAGGACACCCGGGAGCAGGAGGCATCTGGGAGGGCCTCCTCTATGCCACGCCTGACTATGGAGCCCCAGGTAAAAAGCGACCACCACCTGCCCCCGCAGCACCCAGGGCTGTGAGAGAACACCTGATGCTCTCAAGTGAGCCTCAGCTTACCCTTGCCCCTCCCATCAGGAGCAGAGGCACTGGGGCCTAGTTCACACGGGCCCCTGTGCGGTTGCAGCCTCGGCCAAGGCACAGCCTCCCGTCAGCATCTCCAGCATGTATGCCTTCACACGCAACTCCGTGTCAGGCCATCCATCCTGCCAGCACAGGCCACGCCAGGCCCTGTTGTCTGTTTCCCTGGCTTTTCCTGTCTGTCTGCCTGTCTGTCCTACATGGTTTCGACAGAGACGAGACGTTCTTGTGACTGTTCCAACTTCTGTGGCAAATTCTGTGCCGGCCAGGAAAGCAGGCAGGAATGGGAGTCAGTGGGGCCCCAGCACTGCAGGCAGCTTCCTGCCCACCACAGCCCTCAGCAGCCTGAGGCCAGATTGGCCCCAGCCGCAGTTCAGACCGAGACCCAGGGCACACCTCAGGCCTCTCTCAACCCTGCACCCTCCTGTGCTCACTCAGACCTCATGTCCCTCCATCCAACATTTCCAGGTGGTCACGGACCCAGGCTCCATGCGGCGCTCCTTCTCCACCATCCGGGACAAGCGCTCCAGCTCCTCGTGGCTGGAGGAGTTCTCCATGGAACGGAGCAGCGACAACACCTACAAGTCACGGCGCCGCAGCTACCACTCATCCCTACGGCTGTCTGCCCACCGCCTCAACTCAGACTCAGGTGAGGAGGCCACAAGCACTACAGCCCAGCCAGGAAGGACCTTGAGGTACAGACCAGGTGGCCACTGGACTGGCCACTGCACTTGGCGGAGCTGTTAGACTGACTGGTCCTGGGGTGCCCCTCCTCCCCTCCAGGTTACCTCACTTTGTAAGACATGCACATCTCTGGCCTCACTGCAAGCAGAGGCCCTGTCCAGTTGAGACAGAAGCAGGTCACCTCCAGCTCCTCCAGGCAGATGATGCCTAAAACCACAGATTCCCCCTCACAGCACTGGGACTGTGGCCACCGAGACCCCATGTCCATGCACACAGCACTGTCCAGGGCCACGCCAGGAGGACCCTTCCTACATCTCCTTACCACAAATCCCACCACGGCTCCAATCTCAGGACCTGGTTGCTTGCAGAAGGCCCCTCCATCCCACTGGGGGTCAGAGTTCATAGCTGAGTTTGGGGGGACACCACATGCAACATATAACAGGGCCTGGCACAACACACTGAGCAGCAGGCTGCCTTGTCTTGCAGGTCACAAGGCTGACACTCACCGCTCAGGAGGCAGAGAGCGGGGACGATCCAAAGAGCGAGAGCACCTTCTCTCCGCTGATGTGTCCCGCTGCAGCTCCGAGGAGCGGGGGACCCAGGCGGACTGGGAGTCCCCCGAGCGCCATCAGTCTAGGTCTCCAAGTGAGGGCAGGTCCCAGAGCCCCACCCGACAGGTGAGCCTGGGTGGCACCCACAGATCAGACTCTCGGAAGCAGAACCCCCAGAAAGGCCCTGGCCCTGGAGCCCTTTTTGACCATCCCAGCCTTCAGACAGCAGGTGCTGTGGCTGGGAGAGGAAGAGGGAGAGGCAGACATCCCATCCCAGGCTCCCCGGTGTTTGCATGGTGCTGAGCAGTGACCAGCCCCTGCCTGAACAAAGCTTGCTGGGCCCTGAGACCCCAGCAACCTGCTTCACATGAATCAGGTTCCCTCAGGGCAGAGGTCTTGCGATCGATCGCTGGGGAGGACAAGTGCCTATTGACATGGACTTGAGGGACTAGGAGAAAGAACCAAGGGGAGACATCTCAGCATGGAGCGGCATTATGGCCACTCACGGTCACACATCCTGTCATCCATTTGCCTACCCTGGCTCCAGGCCTAGGCATCAGGGAAGTCTGAGTCCCAGGAAATCCTGCGTGGGTGGGAGCCAAGCGCTGTGGCCACTAGTAGCTCAGCCGAGGCCTGGCCAGTACACCCTTGGCAGTGAACTGTGTCATCCTTCCCTCCACAGGGCACAGGCTCCCTGAGTGAGAGTTCCATCCCCTCTGTCTCGGACAGCAGCACCCCGAGGCACAGCCGCCGGCAGCTGCCTCCTCTTCCCCCAAAGCCACGGCCCCTCCTTTCCTATTGCTCACTCAAGCAGCAGCCTGGTGGCGACTTCTCCCTGCAGGCTGATGGGAGCCAGGGGGGCACCCTGCTGGCTTCCCCATCCCTGCAGAGCACCCCAGGGGGCTTGTCCGAGGTACCTACTACATCAGGCCCACAGGCCTCACCCCAGCGCTACATCTCGGAGCCCTACCTGGCGCTGCACGAAGACTCCCACGCCTCGGACTGTGGCGAGGAGGAGACGCTCACCTTCGAAGCCGCTGTGGCCACTAGCCTCGGCCGGTCCAACACCATCGGCTCAGCCCCACCCCTGCGGCACAGATGGCAGATGCCCAACGGGCACTATCGGCGGCGACGGCGTGGGGGGCCTGGGCCTGGCACTGTGTGTAGCACTGTGGGTGATCTTCTTAGTGACACCGAGGAAGATGACAAGTGCTAGAGGCTGCTCCCTTCCCTGCATGCTCCCGCCTCACTTGGGGCGTCAGGAAGCCTGGGCGGGCCAGGGGGAGGGGAGGAGCAGAACCCCATTGGTGGCCAAGATGGGCGTGGAGAGCTGGTCTGCACCCCCCAGACCCCTGGCTCCCTCCTCTGTTGGGGAAGAAAGGACAGGGCCATGGGGCTTCTCCTGCGGAGGGAGTGTCCTGTGCCCTCCCTTGAGCCCCTCTTGCTGACTGGCCCAGGGTGGCGTGCAGTACCTTGGGCATCCTGAGCCATGGGTACCCCAGGAGTCTTGCTTGGCACCAGCACCCAAGAGGAGCACTGGGTGCCATGGATGGGAGCTGGGGAGAGTGAGAGAGGCGGGTCTGGTGAGAAAAGCCATAACCCCCTGCCCTACTAGGCGGGGGCCATGCAGGGGGAAGGAGCTGGGTGGCTGCCGTCCCCCCAGCACTCACCCTGGCGAAAGTGGTATGAATGGCACTGTTACCCAAGCTGCTCTAGGCATTGGCCGTGGTGCCCCCAAGGCGCTTGGAGCAGCATCTGTGTCCATGCTGCAGCTTGCGGGTACTGCACTGGGAAGCCAGGGGCCCACAGGAGAGGTAGGCAGAGGAGCAATAGCTGGCCAGGCCACACTCATGGAAGACACGGGGGAGAGGGCAGTGCATACACCTTGGCCTGACATCTTCTGCAATGTTGAGACTGTTGCTGCCTGTGCTGAATGTTCCCCAGGCCAAGCCCGGGCTGCAGGCCTCCTTGCACCGAGGACATGGACAGTGACCTCCCCTCAGCCCTCACAGCCTCCCTGCATGCAGGGCTCTCTCCAGAGGAAGACACAGAGGACCTGCGCAACCCGTCCTCCTGCAAGGCAGCTGTCCCAGTGGTTTCCTACACACAGTTGTGTTCTCCTGGCTGGAGTTGAGGGCAGACCCAGCATGAGCTCAGACAAGCTCAATCCAGCCACATGTCTGGAGGACCACAGCCACGGCCTCGCTGCTGGATGTGGCTGGACACCCTGATCCACAGTGACCCTAAACCAAAGCAGCCTCAGGACAAGAGGCTCCTAGAACCCTCCTATGTCAGTTTTCCTGGGTGGCAGGCTTATGCTTGACCAACTGAGCATTCAGCTCCTGCACAGCTGAGTACTAGATCCTGCTGGCAGCAGCATCTCCCCCACCCAGTCAGTTCTTGAGGCCGTGGCCAGGAGTGGCATGTGAATACCAAGTCTCCTGTGCCAGACACACTGCCTGGACACCCCATTCTGTGCCCTGCAGGATGCCCGCACGAGCCCCTGACTCACATCTGCTCTCCCCAGAACGCTGCCCAAGAAGTTGCCCTCTCTTTCCTGCCTGCACTCACCCTAGTGAAAGTCTGGGAGTTAGATTCCCTACAAGTCAGTCTCGCCCAACCCCTGTTCTGGCTCTCACCACCCTGGAGGGCCTCACCCCCATGCCCATTGTAGGGGCTCTTCACTCCCCAAGACCCCTCCTCACCATCTCCCCAGAGCAGCAAAGGCTGGAAGGGATGGGAGAAGAGAACCAAGGCCAGGAGATGCCCAGCCGGGGCGGGGAAGGGATATGGAGGACACAGCTGCATCCTCCCATACCATACAGGCCAGGATCACTGCCCACCAGGGTGGGCCAGGTCAGGCCCTTTCCAGATTCACCTTTCCACTGTATGTCTCCATAGAGACACCTCATCCCACCTTCAGCATTTCCCTGACACATGTCCGTGGCTTGCATGGGGAACCTGGTCTCTGTGCCTGTGTAGCTGCACGTTAGCCCCCAGGGCCCATATTCTACAGAAATTCTCACCCTGGGGAAATTGGGTCACAAAGTCTAAACACTTAGTTGTTCCCTCCAGTGGGCTGAGCCAGGGACACCCAGTGCCCCCCATCACCCCTCCCAGCTGTGAGTGCCACAGGTGGGCAAGTGCCTCGTGGATGTTTCTGGACATGTCCTGAGTTCCATGGCCTTGGATTGGCTCTTCCTGAGGACATGCAGCTGACGCCTCCCCCAGGACACAGTTCACTCCAGCTTTAAAATTCACCTTTGAAATCCCACACTAAGGCATGTTTTAACAAAAGCCAAACTTGGTGAACTCAGGGTCGAGACCCACCTCCTCCATGCAGGTCCCTGGGAACAGCTGCTATCTTCCAGCAGCTTCTGGCACTTTCTCTGAGATGCCCATTCCCATCCCCCAGAGAGCAGGGTCAACACACGCATGTGCCCAGGAAGGAAGGAAAGAATGACCATAGATTCCAGGTGGCCAGTTTTTCATCCTTGAAGCTTCCTTCTGGGGCCTCTGTCCAAAAGATATCTCAGCAGGCCACTGAGGAGTGCTGGGGCCTGGGCACACGGGCAAACTGGCTTCTTCTCATGCATTATGGACGGCAGTGAGAGTACTGGTGTCTGAGCCCGTCAGCTATACTCTGCCGCATCTCCGGAGATGGGAGGCAAGTGGGAATCCAGGGCCAGTCTGAGCCCGAACCTGCTCTTCACTTCCTAAACCTAAACCTGGGAGCCTGGATGGGGAAGCTGAGGCAATCACCTGTGCTCTCGCCACTTCCCTCCTGTCCACCCAAAGGGCACCAGAAGCTCAGAAACTGGCACGTGCAAAACTGGAACTTTGAGAAGACCATTGCCAAGTAGTGCAGAGCCTGGTCACAGCAGGTACGTAGCTCCCAGAGAAGTCTCCGCCGATGGAGCCCAGAACACAGGGGCCTGTGTCAGGATTCAGGTCAGAGAAGCGGCCATTGCCTGTGTCCCACCAGGACCTGTGGGACTCCTGGTGCATGAGAAAGTGGGCCTTATATGAAGGTCCACCTGGATCTTCCTGTCTCCCCCACCCCAGAGTGTTTTGATTGTAACAGTAACCAAGGGGAAGGAGTCCTGCTCCAGGCTGTCCAGTCCTCAGCAGAACCTGGCATCTACAGGGCTCACTCTTGCTCCTGCACATTGGCCATATAAGATTCAGTCCTTTTGCTGAGATGGGATCCCAGGGCTGTTCCCACCCACTCCTCTCTCCTGCACCCCCAGGGTAGCCTGAAGCAGGAGGGATGTCCTGAACCCAAGTCTGGGGACTTGGTCATCTTCCTCTCACACAACTCAGAGTGGCTCAATCAGATCATCTTCCTGAGGTGGCAAAGATCCTAGACTGAAGGGCCAGAGTGCAGCCGAGAGTGGGACCAGATCCTGCTGTCAGGCCGACCCAGCTGAATGGGGAGCCCTAGCAGGCTGGCAGGTTGTGGACACGGCACAGGGTCCTTTGCCCAGCCTCATATGCGCTGAGTTCTAGGTTTGGGCAGGGGATTCTGGGGTCCCAGAGCAGTCATTTCCAGATAAATTGCAGAGAAGAGACTTGCTTCACCATAGCCCAGGACCCTCCTAGCTTAAGCAGTGCGCACGGTTCAGGCCCATGAGCAGCTCAGGCCAGACTCCACACTGCAGGTGCACCTGTCCAACCCTGATGGGAACACGGCTGGGATGTGGACCACAGGGGGTCAAGGCTGCACCTAATCCTGGCACCCTCTTGGGCATCCAGAGGAAGGCTGGGCACTACTTGCACAGGGCCTGCCCAACCCTGGAGATGGTCTATGCCACACATGGACTGGATGGAAATCCTGTAACATAAATGCTCGTTTGGATCCAAAAGGAAAACCATGCACATGAGAGAGCCACAACTTCAGTTTTGGGGATCAAAGAAATAAATTAAACCTTGGGAAGGCTTGCCTGCCTGCTTCTCGCCTCACAGACCAGGAAGAAGCCTCGACAAGTGAGGGGGTTGCGGTCCATTGGGAGGACTTACAAGGCCGAAGATTGTTTCCTTCGCGCTGATCCAGAGCTCAGGCCCCAGGCCAGGGCAATGCAAGCCAGCTCCAAGTGTTACAGTAGACAGGTCACCTACCCACAGAGGCCAGGCACCCTCACAACCTGCCCTGCGTACTCCCCACAGAGACTTCTGGAGCAATTAGACACAGTGGGACCTGCTCAGTGACTAGGGAAACCACTGACCCTCACTGGGGCTGGCCACAGGGGAGACCACATTGCTGTAGGCAGAAGCATGCTGAGTACCTGTGTCCTTCACGGCCCAGTCGGCATCACTACCACCATAGAGGGCCTTCCTAGCCACCCAGCAGGCACTGCACATCATAGGTGCCAGGGGTCCCTGTGGTCAGAGACCCAGGCCGGCTGGATCTTGATTTCTAAGGAAACAAGAATAAACATAAGTTTTAGGCCAAGTGCATCGTAATTTTCTACCTGCTTCTTGATGGCGTCTGCACACTAGTGTCTTGGCACCAGCAGGAGCCATAGTTGTTGCCTCAGGAGCTCCTGCCCCATGTCACATGCTGAAACGTGGAGAGGGGGCAGGACAGGATTGCTCTGTTCTGCCAGCTAATGCTGGTTCAGGATAGGGAGCGACATGAATAGGGGGCTTGGTGCCCGACACACATGCAGCCCACATGGGGGGCCTGGGCACACATCCATTGTGTGTGTCTCAGGGACCTGGCCAGCCTCACACTCTGATGTCCCCACTGTGGAATTGGGATGAATGGACTGGCCTCGTGCTGGCCTGAGACAAGTGGTTGATCCACCAATCCTTGACAAGCCATGCCATCCTAGGACCAGCCCCCCCCCCCAATGCATACACACACAGGGCAGTGGCACAGGGTTCCGGGCAGGTTCCCTGAAGGTGAGGGCAGCACCTAAGGGCTTAGACAGGAGTAGAGGAAGACTGGCTCCTCAGAGCAGAGCAGGCCGGAAGTGAGATGTCAGGAGGGGAGACCCTACAGGGCAGGGGGAGAGCAGCAGAGACTGAGGACCAAGTTTCCCTCTCGGTGTGGAAGCAACTCTTCCAAGAAGGAATCTGTGAGGAGGCCACAACATCACCAAGTATGACCCCCATGGAAACCTAAACCATGACTACAGGCACTCGGCTGCTTGGATTAGGATGCAAACATCAACTGGGGCAAGGCATCATACAGGGGGCATTCCAAGTGATACA